TCGTCTTTGGCAGCCTGCCTCCGACGGTCCTCTTCATCCTTTCGACGCCGTTCGTCTTCGAGGCGACGGTCCTCGGCGGCCATTGCACGCTTCGTGGCCTCTTCGACGCGTCGTGCTTCCTCCTCGGCGAGGTGCTTCTGCTCTTCGGCGCGTCGTTCGACCTCGGCGTCGATGGCGGTCGCGAGCTCGGGCCAGTCACCGCGCGCCCACTCGACCCACGACTCCGACGCCCGCTCTGCGAGCTGTTTGACGGCGGCGGCGACGCGCAGCTCCGTCTCCTCGTCGCGGATGGCGCCCAGGGCCTTGCGATAGGCGAGCTGTTCGAAAACAAAGGGTTAGCTGTGTTATGCAGATTATGAAGCGACTTACGACGAGGGGCGACAAGTCTTGCGCCCACTCTTCGACCACGTCGAGCGCGGCGTCGGCGGTCGGCGGAGCCTCGAGAACCACGAGCAAGGAGGCGAGGCGGCGGTTGACGAGCGAAGGCGTCGACGCAGGGGTGGCGGAGCGAGAAGACATCGTAGAAAGCAGAGAGTATGCGGGAGAGGGCGACGAGGTAGCGACGAAGGAACGATGGGATGGGGAAAATGAGGCTAAGTCTACCCTGCTTATAACCCCTTTCCGACCAGCGTTTAGCGCCGGCCACGTGGCGTTCGAAACCGACGCGGGTTGTCATGCCGCTTCGATCCGTTCACGACCATCGCGCTTCTTGCATCACGTGGAGGACCGAGGGCGGTCCAAATTTCAATAGGGAGGAGATGATAGGCGCCAAGCCCCTCTGGGCCCCGATACACCTCTTTTCGGCACTTGCATCCCGCCCGGCACTTCGACTCAGTCTCCCCACAGTTCGATTTCGCCTTCGACGCTCTTCGACATCTTCGACGGTGCGCGACGCTTACTCGAAGCTCGGCACGGTCGTCCCGATGCCTCGCGCGTAGATCCCGGGACATCTTCCGCATTCGGCGAACAATAGGGCCACTTGACGCCGCTCGGCCAAGCGCGCGCTTCGCTCCAAGCCACACCGAAGTAGCCGGTCTTTCCTGATTAGGTATCGAACCTCGCGGCATGCCTTCACGACGGCTACCGGTCCGAAGTGGCCATATGTTGCTCTTCATCTCCGCGTTCGGCATGACGTCACTCTACCGATGGACTTAGTATGTGCCCCTCGGTGAGGCAGCTTCTTGAGGAACAATGCAAAGCCCCTTGTACCAGTGTGCCACTGTCGATAGTCGTAGCGTCCTGTGTAGTATAAATTCTGTCGTACTTCTCTCCAAAAATACAAGATCCGGTTCCCCCCTCGAGTTCAGAGCTCATAAGTCGAGTTCGCCCCGCGTCTAAGCCTCTAACTGCGTCACTTCGTCCCTCGCTGCGTAACCTCGAAACCTCGTCCACTGCATTTACTCGTCGATACCGTCTCGACGAACCCTTCGACTTCGACTATTGTCGAAGAAACTGCAAACCGCGTCCTAGCTAAGTCCCCCCTATTGAGTCGTGTCCCTTCCTTCTACGATACATCGGAGAGCTCTGCCGAGCTTCGATCCTCTCCACTAACCATCCACAGCCTCCGAGTAGCTTCGACGACGTGTCGAAGCCACCTCGTACCTTCCCCGTTGTTCGTAGCCTTTTCCAAGGGTGTTTCTCGTGTTCACTCGAACCGCGGGACACCTTGCTGCTAACTCCCCTCTCACTAGACTATAATCCGTCTCTCTAGTCCCTTTAGGTCGCACCCAGGTTAGGGGTTAGGGTTTCGTAGGTCGTATCATCGGATTGTTTCCAATCGATCATAGACAACATGGGTAAAAGAGGCATTCCGCAGGCTTGTTCCAATACAAGCGAAAACACAAAGGGATGAATCTCGAGCTGATTGCAGAAGAAGAAGCTCCGTACACGGGGGGCATACCACTTGAAACGTGCCCACTCTTCAGGACAGATCTGTTTGCAGAGTACCTATTTATCATGCATATTAGCAAAAAGGCATGCACATAATCCCTCAAAACAAACATAATGAGCTCGTCCAGGTGACGGGTCCATGATTTTCCGGAAGCTATCGAAGAGGCTGAACAGAGGAATCATGCCAGGCAGGACTCGCCATATAACGTCGAGTGCATATTCGGAGAACGACTTTGAGACGCATGCCAGATCTGCCCAGGGAGTTACATATTGGAAAATCATTCTCATGATCAGGTCATTGCTTAGGACCTGAAAAGACATCTACAGAGAAGCCACACAATGATCATGTCAGCTCATTGCTGCTTTAGATGCAAGCATGCTCCATACATTTGTCACGTAGTCAGTGATACAACAGTCTATACTCCTATATTGATGCCTGACTCATAGACGATGAGTGAGGGCTTATGGACAGTGCGTCGTCCTGAAGATCGAGCAAGGAAGTTGAGAATGACCACTAGCCCAAGCGAAGAGGAGCAGAGTGTCACGAGTTGGTACGGCGTCTAGCCGTTTTTTAATTTTTCCTTTTCGCGGGCTCGAACCCGCGACCTCTGTACTACATGCCTGATATGGACGCATCGCTATCTACTGTATGATTAGATTAGATGGGGCGGCAGTGCGCGGCACAGCTCGGGCTCCGCTGACACAGCCTCTCTGACTCACCGGCCCCCGGGGCCGCGTCAGCATGCTGCGCACGGACCAGCTATGCACAGACCAGTGCGCACAGCCTGCCCTCATCCTCCCCTGTATATAAGCCGGCCTCTGCTGCCCTAGGGACCTCAGTTTCGACCTCTTGTCCCTAGGTCAGTAAGCCCTCATTTGTATTCCTTCTTACCCTACTAACTAATACATTTACTTGTCCCTAGCCTTAGGTTTGAGCATAAGCTCACCATCGCTTCGGTAAGACCCAGTCGAACGCCCCCAGCGTCATTTGTCTGTGTTTCCCAGTCGCTTGACCCTAAGTCGCGACACAGAGACTTGAATGAATAACCAGGTCGAACTTAGGGTTCGACCAACTAATGGTACAACTATTTATACAAGTACCGGCTACGCACGGACCACTGTATCTGTGTGGTCATGTTTAGTAAAGAAAGAAATGTAGTGGTACGTTACCAGGTACGAAGTGCACACGGACCCCATTATGTAAGCTACATAATGTTCAACCTGTGGGTGAGCGCTCAGACAGGCGCCAGTATGGGCACTAGTAGTACAAGAAATAGAACGGAAAGATAAATGTTTCAGTCAGGGTGAACTACTGCAGCGTTCACAACCAAGGCGACTCTGAATCAGATCGATCTTGCAGCGTCGATTAGATGTCTGACACTGCCAGGCCCTCTTCGTAGATGACTTGCGTATGATGTGTGCTTTGATTGCCAGATGAAAAGAGTTGTCGGGTCGATTGCGGTCTACAACCAAGGTCCAAGACGAAGAAGACTAGACACAAATTATGTAATGATAACCGCCAGGCAATCACCGTGGCCTGCCCACCGACCCCGCCGTATAATTGTTGAGATTTGCTCCCATTTTGTTTGTATCTGTCGTAACACTGTGATTGCCAGACATAAGAAGATGTACTATTTTGTTGTCCTCATTCCATTGTTCACGCCAATTCCTTATGGGTAGTGCTAAAGGTACAACCGAAACCGTGCAAAATCGACCGTAACGAGCTTGAGCACTAACGACAACGTATTCTCGGGAAGCATGAGGCTCATTCTGAGGACCAAGCGGATATAAAACGGGATTAGACTATATGAGAAAGGACTCAAAGGAGGGTGTAGTTGATCGCGAATATGGAAATTGGTAGTCTCCCCTAGGCAGTCCGCAAAAGAGCTCCCTCGCTGAGTGAGGGGAGGACGGTCCCTTTAGCGGAATTGCCGTTAGAGAGGATCAGGATTCGTGAGGCTTAAGCTACACGTTCACGATATTTACCTGTGGGTTAATGTTGGTGACACATTGATATTGTATTTGAGGACCTAGAGTAGGGGGGAGGCATCCCGAGATCGTGAGGCGTTCAGTCTGCAGCTCAGAATATTTGTTATTAAAGGCGATATCTAGAGTCTGAAGGGAAGTTGCGAATAGCGGTGCGATAATCTCGACCACATGCGGATTGAAGCCGAATGCTTGCGCAATGCCTACATCGATGCCGATTTCGACGGGAGTGAGGCAGGGTGAAGAGACAGGGCGGCACAAAGGTTAAAGCGCAAAGGCTTATTATATTCTGGTGGTGCAGAGTTCTCGCAATGAGCGAAAACCAGTAGCCGTTTCCAAGTAATTATTCCTTCTAAGCATGTAAGTGTGGAGCTGCAAGGAACTCATTGTTCCAATTCGGCGCAAGCGCAAACCACTTTCGCAAACAGAAGACAAAACTTAAACTTCTTCAGGGGTTTGACGCCCGACAGATGGACCCACTCAACACTACGGCCTGTAAGAATGTACCATGGAAACGTGAGGCAGTTGCCGACGATGAGTTTTTTAACCAGGGTTCGCGTATTTCCCCCCAGAAGGCATGCTATAGCAGAGATAGACGGCGTGTAGACAATCTGTAAGGAATGATAGGATCGCTGACCCTGAGCCTAGGTTGTTCCATTTGAAAGGAATGAGGCCAAGCGAAGTAGGAGGGGCTGGCCATGCGACTGGTTTGGAAAAGGGAGAAAACGGAGGCATGAACGTGTTAACGATCCCATCGAACCATGCGAAAATTCATACGCAACAGGCATATGACCTTAACTGAGCCCGAGGTCAGACATGGCCCAGAGGGTCGTTCATCTACATCCGCGAAGAAGGCTGAGCTTTAGAAACTCGCTTGTCGCAAAGTCAGGCCATGCTACAGTATGTATGAAATCTGCAGATCGACATGTTATTAAGAAGCGAGCGATACGCTCGCTAAGGATAGTGAAAGAGTAGTCGCACGAAAGCCTTTTGTTAAGTAACAGAAGCATCAATCCAAAGAAAGCTTGATACGTCTGGCGTAGAAAGCTGCAGCAAATGCATCCCGAGACTCTGGATGGACGCGTTGCTTCTAGTCGAGATGTCGAGTATGACAATAGTACTCACTAAGACCAAATCCCCGCGCCAAGCAGGCCAACCCACCCTGGGAAGTTGAACGCGGCAGGTGCGCGCGCGACCAGCAGATATACGACGAGATTGTGATTATCGCCGAGGTTGGCAATGCGCATACAGTATGTGTCCGACAAGAGCGACAGCAGTTGCACAAGTTCTTGTGCCTCTTCTGCTTCGTTGCTTTGTCGCAAGCACGAAGAAACAGGAAGGGGTACATCGGGCAAGAGGTCTACAATCTCGATCTATACAATCGTTTAATATAAAGGGGAATCATGACAATGCAAATAGCAGAATGGACTCACCGTAGATTTCTCAGTCAACCGGGGCTGCATCTGCAACGCCTCGATGACTTCGGCTCTGTTACGACTCTTGCCATAGTCGCCGTCACCCAGGTAGAACGCGAGGTCTCCAAATTCGTCAGTCTCGCTGGTCTGCCCGAGGAGGGCGCTGCCACAACCCATCGCGTTAGCAGCGGCGTTCGCCTTCAGAGTGAGCGACTGCAAGAAGGCTTCTGCATCCTTGCGGCCAGGGCGGCCTGTCGGGTAGAAAACTGGTGCTCCTGCCTCGGACGACAAGATTGAGGCGGGCTCGCTGCCGTAGACGGCTGAGAGGGTGGCGGAAACAGCAGCATATACGGTCACGCTCATCGCGTCCGAGATCAACTTGTGCAAATACAGTCTTTGTGATTGGACGCGGTACGGGACAGAGAAGCGAGCTTCAGATACAATGTTGTTCAGTCGTCGGAGCCAATGGCGAAGACAAGTTTTGTCGGAGAGGACGAGAGGAGATGGTGGTAGCCGTGCCGGAGGGACACGCGCCCAGGCGCGCCTGCGCCTTGCCCACCTTGCCTCCTCCCTTGACTGGCTAATCCTCTTTTTAACTCAAACCTCGACGTTGGCCCCCTCGTGGTATATACACACTCGGCGGATACTCGCAAACGTGCAGCCCAGCTTGCATGCTTTCGTCAATCGGGCGTAATGGCTTCATAGAAAGGTCAGAAAACCACCTCGGAACGAGACGATTGCTGACCTGCCGCCTCATGCCAGTCTCGCAGCAAGAAGACACAGCCAGAGCGCCATTCTACTTCAGCGCAGGCTGCAGCATGTAAGCCGTCTGCACATGGGTGCACCGACGGCATGGGCCGCACGCTCGTCGGGTGCACTCTTCGTCCACCGGCAACTCTCCACGACTCCTCCGGGCCCGACGAAGTCGACCGACGGGGCGCCACAACCTCCTCTCCCAACACCTCGGAAACACAAGGTCGAGCTACGGCCAGCACCACTCAAGCCTGTAAAGTCATCGACCGATGCTCTTTCTGCGGCGTCTAAACCCCCTTCACCGACACCTGCCGCCTCGAGTTCTACTTTGGGATCGTCGGGAACGTCAAAGCAGGAGTCATTAGCGGAAGTCACAAAGCATGATCTCGAGGATGCATCGCAGCATGGCATTCTTGCGCCGCCACCAGCAGATGCGTCGTGGGTTGGTCGACTCTGGCATCAGGGGAAGGAGCTTTTCGTGCGTTTTTACTAGCATTCTTACCCAAACATTGCTTAATCTCCCGCTAGAAATTCTACTGGAGAGGTATGAAGTTGATCGTAAGCAACCGTAGACGAATCCGCGAGATTCAGGAGCGGGTGAAAGCTGGCGGAGCACCCTTGTCGCGGTGGGAGACGCGGTTCATCAGGACAAATAGACAGGACACACTCAAGTAAGTGTATTTGATCCTTTTTTGACCCGCAGAATCCCAATAACCTACAGGTTGGTCCCATTCGTCCTCATGATCATCGTCATTGAGGAGATCATCCCGCTCGTCGTGCTCTATGCTCCCTTCATACTTCCGTCGACATGTCTTCTCCCCTCGCAAAAGGAGCGCATAGACTCTAAGCGTCGCGAGAAGCAGAAGTATTACGCTCTCGAGTACAAGCCGCTCTTCGAGCAGCTCAGTCAGCGCTTCCTCGTTCAGTCTGACACTCCCCTCAAATCTCTCGACGGCTCCGCGCTCTCAGCAGTGAATGGGTACGTCTCGTGAACGTATTAGCCTCACAATGACTAACCCTACCCTCAGTCTCCTCGCGCTGCCGACATACGGGCCGTCCGCCCTGCGCCTGAGCCGTCTGCAACAGCACCTGGCGTCCATTGCCGACGACGACACGCTACTCGCGCGCGAATCATTCGGCCAGGCCCTCACGCAGATTGAGCTGCGTGATGCCCTCGAAGAGCGTGGAATGTGCGTCCCCCTATTTCTTAATTTCTGATGTGCGTATGCGAACAAGCGTCGATGCTGTCCCTAAACAGAATCACCGATGGACTCTCGCCGAACGCTTGGCGCACGCGCCTCGAATGGTGGCTCACACACGTTGACGCGAAGGCGAGCGGCGACTTGGACCCGATAAGTAAGCGGGTGCTCTTAGTGGCGAGCAGTGGGGCGGGCAAGTTCTGAGCGGGCAGGTGTGGCTATTGATAACATGCTGTTGCATCATAGAGCGTACACTTGGATAATTGGCATAGGCACCATCCACTCTGAGCAGTGGACTAATTTATCATGTCAGTCGAGGCATCATCACTCTTCAATCGTTCCTCCAACGCGCGGTCAAACATTCATCGGTGCACTGTAAAGTGATGCTAAAGTCGTTAGTATTGATGATACAACTGTGTATGTATTACGATTACTGAGCACTTTTTACAAAAGCAAGTGCCTGCCAGTTGCGCTTGTCCCATGGTGTGAGCATGACAGCTTTATGGGCAAGCTGATGAGCTTCTTCCTGAGTCTTGGCATTGACACAACGCGCGATGGCGTGAAGGTATAGAGAATCACGTTGCTGGGCCAAAGAATCTTGATGCGTTGCCGCGAGTACTGCGAGCGAACCTTCGCCGTCGCCTTGTTGCAGCACCAATTCGGCTAGCGTCTGCCTGATCTCAGGGCGGGAAGGCTCAACTATGACAGCCTTTTGCGACACCGATAGAGCTTGCCGGACATCGCCCTGCGTTTGATGACGCTGATGAGCGAGCCTTCCACTCAAGTATGCGGTGTGGACTTACCTGTCCAAGGTGGTGCTGGACGAGGAGATACGTTACTTCTCTGTCGGGGTCTCGAGCGAGGCGTTGATCAGGAGGAAGCGCAAGAATCTCGGACAGTGCAGCGTCGACGAGGCTGTCGTCATCCGTTAGAATGCCCATTCCTGCAAGTGTGTTGATGGCCAGCAGGTTTTCGGGATCAGACTCGATGCTGTGGGCAGTGAGTTAGGTACAATTGTTCGCATCGTTGAGGACTTGCACGCACCTTTGTAGTAGCTGCGCCTTCGCAGACTCTCTGCCCTCTTCCGTCCCCATAGCCCAAAGCGTCTGAGCTAACATAACGATGACATGCCCTCGCATGTCTGGCTCGTTCGCTGCCGTGTCCAGAGCGGCTTCGAAAAGAGCAAGAGCTTCTGCAAGCTGGCCGAGCTTAAACTGAGCGAGGCCAGCGCCAAATTGAGCTTGAGTGAGCAAGATTCTTGCGCTGCGATCCTCTGAATCTTCCGGCAGCAGGCCAGTCACTACTTGGTAAGACTCCAACGCTCCCTCGTAATCTTGTATGGAGAGTCGAAGACGCGCCATATTTGTGTGTGCTATGCTGAAACGCCTCTCGACAACAGGATCTTCCGTGTCTTCATACGCAGCTTCAAGCAACACGATGGCGCGACCAATTATATCGATACCCAACTCGATATGCCCGATACGCTCGCATACTAATCCGAATAGATGTAAAGCAGATGCATCATGAGGTCTTCCTCTGCAGAAGCGATCGAGAACAAAGAAGGCCGGGGATATTGCGTCCAATTGGGACGGGCGTGTTTGAGCTGTAGTGTTGAGTTGACTGAAGACGCGTTTGGCGAATTCGACATCTGCATCCGGCTATGCACAGTGTGGATCAGGAGTGGTTGAAGAAGCATCAAACTGAACACATACCACAGGTGCACTCAAGCCAACCGCATGCTCGAATAGCGCTCTGGCTTCCGGGGCATGACCGTTGAGAGAAGCAACCAGGCCCTGGCCAACCCAAGCCAATGCATAGTCAGGATCCAGCGTCTGCGCCTTATAGAACGCTTCATTTGCAAGCTCCGTATCACCATGATGTAGGTAGAGGAGTCCCAGGTTTGTCCAAGTAATCGTGCTCTGTCGTCGAAATCAGCTGCGGTCACCGATTCCCTTCAAACATGCCACGAACCTTCGAATTAATTTCTAGTGCCTTCACGTAGGCATGTTGCGCAATTTTAGGTCGCGACTCAAACTCCATGTTTCCGAGAGCATTCCAATATCGATCGTTGCCAGGTTCAGCGCGCAAAGCGTCCTTGATGTGCTTCGTTGCTTCTTGCTTTGCGAGTTGTTGCTTTGCACTCGCTCTTCGAGAGTAGGAAAACAAGGCCGCGCTTAGGTCATAATGCGCGCTGGCGACAGCTGTTTCGTCCAGTGCGTCCAAGGAGATCCGGTAATTGTATGCTGCAACAGCAATTTCCAATGCGGACAACGGAAGGTTTGCTGACTTCTGGAGGGACAAAGGCAGCGTCACGATGCCGGTCAAACCCTCACCAGGGTGATCCGAGACGAAAGGAACCAATTGGTAGAGGACATCAAGAACAAGATCCTCGTCCGAGAATTGTGTGAACTGTGAGAGGTGGAACACAGCATCTGCAACAATTTTCCAAGCAACACGGCGGAAGCCAGAACTGGCTTCAATGATCATCTGCAGTGCAACTTGAACGGCTGAGGTGAAGGAGCTCTCCGCCCTTGCCGTGTATGCAGCAGTAACATGCATCCGGCCTAAATCGAGATGCGCCTGGCCTAACGACACGAGAACGCCGAGCTCGTGTGGGTGCTTCGTCAAGATGGACTCGAACGCTACGATGGCTTCTTGGTATTGACCGGTCTGCCGCTGTACCTCACCGATGAAGTAGAAGCAGATCCAGTCTTCCGGATTGAGCTCGCGCGCACGCTCCAGTGCCTTGACTGCCGCTGCAAAACGGCCTGCTTTACTGTACGCCTCGCCAAGTCGCAGCCAGGAGAGCTGATCGTCCACATCCGTCCTTAGTGCAATTTGGAAACCTTGAATGGCTTGGGGATAGTTTTGACGATTCTGCAGCGTGGTCAATTGATATTAAGCCAGGGTACCAAGAAAGCCACTAACCAGTTCAACCACCCCGATCGCTTTCCAAGCCCATGCATTAATCGGCAGGTATCTCGCGGTAGCAGTGCCACCCTCCAAACCACCTTCCCCATCGATAGTCCGCCGTGCCACGACTTCGACCAGGTCCCACTCCCGCTCCTCTGCAAAGCCTTCTGCAAGTCTGCGGGCGGCCTCCGCTTCCCTCGGATCGAGCTCGAACGCCTTCTGGAAACACTTCGACGCGCGATTAGGGTCCGGTGGCGACACGAACTCGGAGTAATAGATCCCGAGCGATGTGAAAGCCGGCGCGAAGCTCGGAGATCGTTTGAGGGACGTGATGAAGTGCCGGTAGGCTTCCTCGCGATGCTCGTCTAATGGTAGTTCAGCGAAGGGCCCACTGCGTTGAGGCCACGGGTACCCACCTCCCATATCCCAATAGCATTTTCCAAGCCTCCACCAGGACCGTGCCTTGTCCACGTCCCGACCCTCCAGATCGTCTAGGAGGATATTGACTTCCTGTAACTCGGCGCTGGCATTCTCAAGGTGATGGAGATTCGCTTCGCACCAAGCATGCTCCTCCCTCGCACGCACACCGTGCTCGAGATCGTCCGGCACAAGTTGTATAACCTTGGCATATAGCTCACTCGCATCGGACCACTTCCCTGCGTACTGGAGGACGTAGCCGCGACCCATGAGGCACGGGACATTGTCTGCATCCTCTGTGAGAACGTCATTGAGGAGGCCAAGAGCTCTGGCATGATGCTTCGGGGGATAGTAATGCACAAGGGACGTAGCGAGAGCAGTATTAAACGCCTTCCTGACGCTAGTTAGAGGTACATGTGTCTTAACTTACGACAACTGGAGAAGGCAATGGACTTACTGCGATAGTGATTTGCCGCTGTCCCGTTCGGCGCGACGAACGAGTTCCAAACCGCTCTCTGCGACTTTGATTGTGTTCTCGAGGTCCTCTTCAAATTGATATATCTCCGCGACGATTCGATGAGCAAGAATAGAATCTGCAAGGCTGCCGAATGCCTCCTAGGTATGAAAGCATGGGTCGCAATTCTATTCATTCCAGTCAGCGGGACACCCACGATGATTATATCAACGTAGTCGATATCGCCCTTTGCTTGCTCCTGTTTCGACTCTTCTTCCTCATCTGGTATTTCTATGCTCATATATCCAAAATAAGCAGTGATCAGTTGTGCCAGATGAGACTCTGGGAAGAGCCGACAGAGCCGCCCAACGACGTTGAAGTCGTAGTCCTCTACGATCGTAACTATTAGAGTGTGCTCAAGACAAATGTGTTCATGGAGACATACCAATGTGCTCGGCATCCTTGTTCTCGATAAAGAGTGTCCATGCGAGCTCGTCTCTGATACCCAGTAGCACCATCCCGCTGACGAGTTCGTCGAGTTCTGCGGCAACCTTCGCCTTCTGCGCAGCTGGCAGAGCATTGAGCAGGCGCTGCTTGAGGCGAAGGAGCTTTGACTCTGTCGTCCGACGCAGCTCATCCGACGTGTTAGGATGGTTTAGGATCTCGTCGTAGAGGTGTGGTAGCTGCGTGCGGTTCCGGCATGAGTGCAACCCTCATGGATGAGCGCAAAAATAGCACACGCACTCGCGATGACTCGAGCACCTCGCAGTTGACCTCTCGCCGAATCTGCTCCGGACCTGCTGCACCGAGCCGCGTACGTCGCTTCGTGACCTCACGGTCGACCGTTTCCGCTTCCTCACGTTCGTACAACGATACGAGTTCTTCGATTATGGGCAGGGTGTTGTGCACAGCTGTCTGCATGGGATGAATGGACGATGCGGTCGGATTGGTCGGATCGGGTAACGGTAGTGTGGACAACACGGGGAAGAGAAGAGAGTCGGGTAGAAGGAGAGAGAGCGCATCTGCGAGCTGCGCCACGCACGTCAACTCTACCATTGGCGACTCAAAAGAATACTCACTCACCTGCATGCGGGTGCTCCTCTGGGGATCTCTGCGGAAATCAATGAGCCTCTGTAGATTCTCAGCGCATTTTGTAGCATCTCCTCTGGAAGGCGGATAGCATGAGCGAATATTTTCACGTCACTACTGATGGGCGCACGCTTTTGCATACAGCTGAGCGAGGTGCTCGAGGGTCTCAGTGTATTTTGCCCAGTCGCAAGCTTGATCGTACAATTGCGAAAGGCCCTGCATGAATGCATTTATCTGATATGTACAATATCATCGTTGACGACGACGTACCTGCCATGCTAGCGGCTGTTCGGGGCTCAATGCTGTAGCTTTCCGATACGCCTAAGTGGGAGTCAAATTCTGATCAGCGAGACGAACGCGAAGACATGAAATCGCGTTACTCGCTCGCTATCCTCTGTCTTTTTCAAATTCAACAGGGCGAGACCCAAGAACACGTTCCTAAGCAAGGTACGAAGGCATGTTTGAGAGCACCACGATAACATAACACATACGCGTTGTAGTTATCAGGCTCATACTCCAGGACTTCAGCCGAGGCCTGTTGCGCTCTTTCATAGTCCTTCTGAGTAAAGGCCTCTCGTGCTGCCTTTAGCTTTGTCTTCACTATGGCAGCCATGTTAAACTTGTAGTGTTTTCAAAGATAGTGCTTCTCGGCGTGGTATGCAGGTCGTGCAGAAGTTCAGGCAAGTATGCTTCGCTGCAGATATTATGGGGATGTTTACAATTCTTTCGTCATCACTGGCGCACTCGACTGGCCGACAGAGAGTAACGACGACCTCAGGAGATGTTGAGAGTTGAAGGAACGCAGATTCTGGATTGCATGCGTTAGACGCTGGCATCGACTGGTTCCGTTATGTCGGTATCATATTCATTTCATGCTTGTCGTCCCTCATCGCAGCCCACGAGAACGGCCTGCAGCTATTGCTTTGACTTCAGTCACCATATTCTGGTGCAGGTAGCTGGTGGTAAAGACTAGGGGCCACGACTTCATCTGTGCTTCAGATCCCTGGACGTGCGGCAGAGATAACCGTAACACTGGAGGAAAGTCACATTGAAAGTCACATTGCAGGATAGCCTCCATTCATTCACGCCCGACAGTGAGTAATTTGAACGAAGGTGAGCACGGTGTGATCATGGTTAGTCTTTAGGCTATCCCAAGCGGTACTGACTTCGGATTGGCATGAGATGTCAAGTCAAGCTCTCCACAATGACTTGATCGTGTCAACTATTTTTCAACAATTCTATCTCCCCCCTCATGGCTGGGCACGCCGAACAGAAACCGACTCAGCGGATGTGGCGCGCGCCGCTCGCGTCAGTAAAGCATTCTCGGAACATGCATTGGACGCCCTGTGGAAGAAGTTATTCGACTGGGTCCCTCTCATGAGGCTTCTCGACGATTCCGTTCGCCAGATACGCTCGCCCAACCGCATAGAAAGCACCTGGGTCTGTTCTCGTACTATCGTCGTATGCATCGGCCTTGCTGACTTTCAAGCGAAATAGGTGATATGCGCCCGCATACCGCCTGAGCGCTGGGAGCGATTCAGGTTGTACGCCCGCCGCATCGGGTTCTTTTCGCGGAGCACTGGGCCCTTCACTACAATCCATCCCTCCATGTTCTCGCTTTTCCAGAAGCTCTCCGGTAGCCAGTCCCTATTTCCAGCTCTAACCTCAGTAGATTGGACCCAGACGGACGTCAAGTATGGGGCAGAGATTATGGTGTTCGCATCAGAGTTTCTTCGAAAGGCCAACTTCCAATATACCCTGCCCCATAACCCGGGACTACGCGAAAATGGACCGGGAGAGCAGGATTATGTCATAGCAAGTGTCCTCAATGCCTTTTCCTCCCAAGTTCCTCTCCTACGGAACTTCATCCTGTCTGCCGCAATTCATCCCGACGCACTCGACTTTTCTGGCTTCCGGAACCTTACGGAGCTCACGCTACGTCTTCCTTTTTTCACCTCATCTCTCATCAACACCTGCGCATACATGGAGCATCTCGTATATCTTGACCTGGTGTGTACTGCCGTCGACACTAGCTCCGGATGGCCTGAAGATCTGGGATCTCTGGACGGGTTTCACTCGTTGCACAGGCTCAAGTTGGACTTCACAACTCAGCAGTTCGCTACACGGTTGTTGAACGCCATTTCATCATCTCCGCTCACTTCGATCGCCATGGGCCTCGTTGAAGACGCTACGCCTCTCAGCTTCAGTCTCGTGCAGACACTGAAGTCGCTGTTCCCTACTTGCCTTCGGCAAGTAGCCATTCAGTTTCCTCACGCAGATCAACCAAGCGACTTCACCATCTCGAGCTATATCCATCCTCTCCTCCTTCTTAAGCAGCTGGACAAAGTCTCTGTCACGGTCACCGCAAAGTCTCCAACAGAAGACGAGATACATGACATGATAGATGCCTGGCCCAGCCTAACTGAGCTATCGCTAGACTACTGGGATCCCGTCTCCCCACTCAGCATCACAGCGCTTTCGTTCTTTGCCCTTGGCTGCCCTTCCTTGCGTAGTTTGAGCCTGGGGGATGTCAGTCTTCGAGGGCAGCCGTTGTCAGGTGTTAAAGTAGTCACATCCCATCGCTTGCGTCATCTTAGCATGCGGTTGTCTGACGAACACCTGACGACTGCTGACAAGGTGACTTTGGCGCGCTTCCTGGATGATCTCTTCCCGCACCTTGAAGAAAGAAGCCTACTTTCGGGATCTCAATACTTCGAGGACAAAGAGCTTTGGGACGAGATAGCCGCTATCTTGAAGGGGTTCAAAGCGGCCAGAGCCCACGAACTGAGCCGCTTGCAGGTGAGATCTCATGGTTTCATTCACAACGTTGCATGTTGGTTGGGGGATCTGACGTTTACCCCAGTGTTCGCTGACATCATCGGGATCAGTCTGACGCCGACTCAAAGGCGGAGTCCAACAAAGCGACTGACATATATCACACAATCTAGGCCCATTGGTGCTTGACTCGCACAATTTTCGGTATCGGGGACATTTTACGGGAGTCTGATCGTACATATATCCATGCAATCGGTGCTTTCTCAACCAATAGTCGTGACAGGCTGGTCCGAGCAATGCCCTCCATCTGTATCATATACGTTTGTCGCCTACATGGCCTACATGGACAGAATGAGCGTTTCACTTGATTAACCCCTAGTCCTGTTTGATCCTCACCGCCGGCAACATATCGGGTGGACTGTTTATTGCTGCTCTCACCAGTCGACGGCGTGGAACGATGATACTGTATGAGACTCGAGTAGAGCTACCGACTGTCAAGACGAAGGACACGGTCACGGGCAAGTCGCGGGTGAGTCGTCGCCCGCGTCTACCCAATGTGGCAAGTTCTTCCGCTCGTCCCTTATCCATCACTTACCTCAGACATTTAGAAATGATATACATCGAGCTCTTTCTTGTCTGCGATCAAGTCTCTGCTCGGTATATCGACTGGCTCAGATTCGCATTCTCATCGGTGCGTGATGCACGGATCCCATACCTCTGCATCTCTGCTCGACTCTTGTAGATCTTCAGATGTCTTCTGAAATTGCGAAAGTCAATAAAGAGGAGTCAGTGAGCGCAGCTAATGGTGATTCCAGTGGACGTGTACTTACAACCATCGCAACTAATACAGGACCCCCACTTCTCGATCTTCGACGAGCCCATCGCGGATGTCATACTGCATTCATGAGATCGTGATGATTCCTACGTCTGCCAAGCTAGTCGAGGTGTCTCCCTCCTAGGACAAGTCGGGGCGTGCCCGTCATTTACGTGGCGGAAAGTGGGCGCTATTTGAGCTCATCCTTCGCTTCTCTTGCGCAACCAATAATCCTACGCTGAACTTGCTCGAGGAGGCAAGCAACATACTCGATACAACGAGAAGTTTTGAGCTGACCAAGGTCAATTTTGCGCTGCGCATACACACAAGGTCGTTCCTGCGTGCTAAAGTTGACTTGGCATTGTGTCTGCTCAAGAGATGGGAAGCGTCTCTACGAATGATCTCAGCGATGACTTCTCGCTTGAGCTCGGTCGATTCTCTCCCTTTAACGCATAGACCTTCTGAGACCCGTCGATGCATCAGAAAATGACTGACAATTTCGAGCAGATTTGAAAGACAGGTAGTAGTATTATTATACATCGTGTTTCTTCTGGACATCGGCGACAGCACTGTGGCATCATCAGTATTCTTCAAATTGTTTCAAAACTGATGCTCCACCTGGCAGGCACTAGCGATTTCCGAGATCCAAAGCGATGCAGCTGCACCACGAGGTCGCGTGAGCGTGGTCAAAGCGCGACCGCGCCACCGTAACTAGTCCTTTCGTTGTGGCGCTGAACCTTTGTCTCGTCATACGTCCACCATGCCACTACGATATGAATCGTTCTTTGACTGCTTGACGTCAGGCCACGAAGTGGCACTCCAAATTTTCTCCTACCTAAGTATATGGGATCTCGCGACCTGCAAACTTGTGGGTATTTGCATTGTCACACGGCTTTGATGACGGTAACAGTATGATCTAGGTCTGCAAGCAGTTCCGCGATATTATTGCCACCGAGTCCTCACCGCAATACGCCCTCCAATTGGCTAGGGGTGATCATGTAGAGCGCGACACCGGAATGCTAACCTGTCGAGAGCTATTATATAAACTGCTACACCGACAATTTGCGTGGAGGACCTTGGCATCTACGAAGATCATGTCCCTTGATTGGTCAAGCTTCGGATATCAGCAACCCGTGCAATGGGCATTCCGAGGTGGCGTCCTAGTCGTCGGTTACATGCAAGACGCCAGGCGGACGGCCGATCTACACACCAATTTCCCCGTAGGCCCGTTATTTGACACAGTGGACATCTACTACACGCGCTCGAAAGATGTGGCGCGCCGGCATCGTCGTTATACACTCTCAAAGTCATATCTTGGACTTGAAATAGACCCCGCGCAAGATCTCCTTGTTGTATGGCGAGATCCATATGCTGCCAAAATGGCGTGCGTGGTTCTCATCGACCTATCGTTTCCTGACCATCAGCTTTCGACTTGGCAGAATCTCCTTTAAATCCCTATCAGATGGCCGGCCTCATCCCTTGGCTCCCGTACACCATATGGATTTAAAACTTGGCCTTGCGTACAATTACCAGGCTGCAGTCAAAATCTGGGGTAACAAGATTGTCATAATCAATAGCTCCAAACGGGATTTGAACGATGGCGTAACTTGCCTTCTTGATTGGAAGATAAAGAAGCCACCAGTGCGTACAAATTTTCTCTATACTTCCCAGTGTGTCTCAGTTTTTGTACAGCTGGTGTCGCTTCCTGACGGTAATTCATGGTGTATGTTGACTGACACCTATTTCCTCCGTCCGGTCCCCGGATGCACACAGATAGGCGACTGTTCTGCATATATTGATATATTTGAGAAGTCCGGAAGCAGCGTCCAATCAGTGGCGCGCTTTCAGCTGCCTGAGCTCCGCCACAAAGCCACGTATATCATATTGGCATGCGACACTTTCGCAGCATGTCAATATCCTGCGATACGGCGCTCAGAGTACACTCCACCTCTTCTGTTCACAGCATCTTCGACTCCGTCTATGATACAAATACGGCTTGCTGTCAAGTCTCGCGGTATCTACTTGGAATACGTTGTCTTCGCCTACACAAGGCCATTCCTGCGTGCCATCGGGCACCTCGTCGGGGACCGGACTGACCGTGTGAAGATGCCAATTCCTTGGGAGATGTGGGGTCCAAAGTCGACCTTCTGGTTCAGTAAGGACAGGGGCCCCGCAGACCTGTTCAGCGATCAGGCAGAACACAGATGGAAGTATGCACACTACGGATATGGAATTCTCTTGCCTTCAGTGCTGCTGGATTTTACTCCTCCGGACGACTACGAATATCAAGAACAATCCGGATCCGGAAAACAGCCGAAGAGCGCCATATATCATAGTACAATCGTCGACGAGCTCCAATGCTTTCGACGAACAGTACACACGACGGCCGCCTACCGCCAGACCATGAATTTCAAAGGCACATCGCTTGATCGGTATGACTGGTACATGGTTGACGAGGATGTGCTTGCTATTCGTGTAAGAGGCAGTATCTCTGCATTTCAGCGCGCTGATATATATCACGCTTCCGAAGAGTAAAAGCATGTTCGAGACATGCGACGAAGATTGCTCAAGACCCCGCTGGTGGCAAGAGACGCTACCGACCATACGTTCCTCCTCCGATCGTCTCGAATTGCTGACATTCGACGATGTCACGGATTCACTGTCTCAGGATCTCGACCATGGACTAGCTTTGTAGCCTGGCTACGTCTTCGCACAAGGGAGGGCTATGACTGCGTCTGCGGTGTTTCTGTAGTGCAGAGCATGGACTCAGTGAATGGATGTATGATATTGGACTTTGGCGGGTCCTCCACGAAATGAGAAACAGGGTATTACTTGAATCATGCTGAATTCATGCAAAGCTCGGTCCGCGTATATCGCGAGTGCCTGTGCCAAACATCGCATTTGGTGCCCTGAGGCATTAGGTCCCGAACGTAGCGGGAAACGCTAGAACTCGCGACTGCGTCTGGTGTACAGTGCAGCACTATCATGCACGATCGTAAACATGAAGTCTGGTGTCTTCACATTCTGATGTTTCACGACACAGGCTTTTCAATGAGGTAAACGTTCCTGTTAATCACTTATTATGAAAATAGGATATAGCGGACCTCTCGGTATAGCTGATATCTCATTTCAATGTCCCTAGCTAGCTTAAGCCTCCAAGCAGCTCAAGCATCCAATGGACATTCCTGGTCTGCTGGAGGCATGGGCTTCTTGTTCACTTTGGCAGACCCGGATGATCCAGATGCCCTCGTTACTGGTGATTCTGGTGGCCCTCTGACGGCCTGCAGTGGGTTTGAACAGCCGTTTTATGACATCCCAAAGAACAGTAGCCGGACAACGCACTCTGTTTTTCGTAAAACCGCCGGCAACGAAGTTTCCGGACGTCTACGAGCCCGCAAATTTTTCGTTGTTACATCGGCCATGGCGGCTGCAGACGGATTCTCCGCTGAAGGCTGATGAGATGCCAAAGACTTTGCAGGATCGCGCATGCAGGATCGCGCGCTATCATGACGCCGGAACAAGTCTCGACGCGAACTATGGTGCGGAGGCGCGCGTCAAGGCGCTGTACGTCCGGAAGATGTACGAGGAGTACGAGGAAGCTGCGCACAAATAAATTATGAGCATCATCCAGAATTCCAACGGCAGCGAAGCAGGATGAGAGTGGGCTACCAAGGGCGGTGCTCAAGAGCTTCCTGGACCAGATCTACAAAAGACAGAGATGAACGGCGTGATCTAGAAACCGTGATGTGTATATGTTCCAAAGCTCTTAGCTGCATTGAGTCCATGTGTGACACGTCCGCGTTCGTTGAGGAGCGACCAAAGACTGGGGCCGTGCGGCGTTTCTGAGCGCGGAGCAAGGACGAGGTGTCGCTCGTTTGAGCAAGCGTGCTGCCGCTTTTGGATTGTCCAGCGCGTAGTTGCTTGGCGTTCGGGCGTCTAATGACTCTACCCTTGATCGACGCAAAAGTATTTGTCGCTTGAGACCAGCAGCCTTACACGTCAGACATTCCGCCTTAGGGAGACTGGGTGTTTAGGTCGGCACTTGACCTGATTACACACATCGACTCTATCGTGTACGTTCGCATGATGCGCCCGAATTGGCTCCAGTCAAAGGTGTCCTCAATGCTCGTCGCCTAGCACTCCCGAGAACACTTCGAGCGCGACGGGGCTGCGTGTATGATTTATATTTATCTTGCTCTACTTGCTGCTATGCTGTACTCCCATACGAAAATCCCACTCCAGAAGTTTGTGACCTTCCTCATCTCCCGGCTCCTTGTTTGTGCCATGCCCTCTAATAGAGATGCCGCCAAGATCTGTAGCGACCTGTTGCTATAGCCGACAGTTTCCACGATAGAAGTGACACTTCTTTTCAAGTGGAAGCCGATGAAGCGTCCTGTGCATCTTTCCTTATTTGCCAACATACACATTGATGGTCGGCTGCTTCCTCATTCGTTCCAATAAAACTCGCTCTCGTATACATCACGCTACGGATACACACAAGACCGTTCCTGCTTGCTACAGCTGACTAGGCATGGTAGGAGTGTCTCTTGAGAATGATCTTGACGATGACTACCTGCTTGAGCTTAGTCGATTATCTCCTTCCGGCCCATAGACCTTCTGACACCCGTCCATGCATCGGAAACTGTGACTGATAATCTCGAGCAGATTATAACGACGTAGTATCGCGCATTATGATTCGTCTGGTCTAGGTGGCGCCAAGGCATCCTCAGTATGTTATGTGAGTATTTCATCACTGATGCTCCATCTGTCAGGCGCGCCACCTAGTGCAATCCAAGCTCTCAAACAATGCAGTAGTAACACGATGCTTTGACTACGAGCGTGCCAGTCATGTGACCGCAGCGCCACAACAAGTCTGCAACAGTTCCATTTGTTGTGGCGCCCAACCTTCCTCTCGTCTTACCTTCACCATGTCACTGATTCCCAAGTCATTCTTACTGAAACTCCCATTTACGGACAAGCCAGCCATCGAGCCGCCTCTTGACCTGAGCGCATGTGATCTCCCGACCCGCAAAGTTGTGGGTACCTGCATTATCACACGATTATGGTTAATGACAGCGACTGTGTGATTTAGGTCCTTCAGCAGTTCGAAGAAATCGTCTCCATCGAGCTGGCTAGGGCAGGATATGTACCGCATTTAGATGGCGGAATGCTCTGCAATCTATCAGAGATATTGAATGCACACCTGCGCCGACAACGCGTGTGGAGGAGCATGACGCTGACAAGGATCATGTCCTTCGATGGTCCTTTGCAACCCGTGAACTCCTGTTGGTTCGCATTCCGAAACGGCGTCTTAGCCATTGGTTCCAAACACCCGTACAGTGTACCTTTCGACCATTTCGGGGAAGATGTCTTTAGCGAGGTGGATATCTACTACACGCGCTCGAAGGATGTGGCGAAGCAGCATCGTCATTATAAACTGCCTAACCCTTGCACTGGACTCGAAATAGATCCTGCGCAAGACCTCCTGGTAGCGTGGTACAGTCCCAAACCGCTCCCTTGGCACTCGTTGGATAACCATGAAGTGCATGACGAGTGGCGCTCGATAATCGGATCGAGGTGTGCAGCTCTCATTGAACTGTCGATTTCTGACTGCTAACTTCCGACTCCACAGAGTTAACTTCTTCTATCTGCCTAATGGTCAGCATCATCGCTTGGCTTCTAAATCCGGGCTATCGGATCATAGTAAGGAGTACTACGACGAGTATGGAGTCAAGATCTGGGGTGACCATATTGCCCTGATCGATAGATGTTGTGAAAGCATTGATGTTTATAACTGGAAACGCAACGGGGAGCTTGTGAGCACAACTACTCTGAATATTTACCATTAAGTGTCTCACTTACCTTAGATGTATTCTCTTGGCAAAGTCGACTGCATGCTGAATGACTTCTGCCTCCTCAAACCATGCGGTACATATAACAACGAACCTCTAGGTGGTGGATCTGCATCTTTTGATGTATTTGCGAAGTCCGAAGATGTGGAACACCTGGTTGCACGCTTTCAGCTGCCAATGCTCCGCGATCACGTCAAATGCAAGATAAGCCAATGTGAAACATTCCGTACAAATTACTACTCCGCGAAATCTGGTTCAAAGGACGCGCCACCTATCCTGCTCTCAACATCTCCGACGCCATCTATGATACAATTACGGCTCGTTGTCTGCGACGTCACGAAAGAACACAACCGCGCCGAATACGTGGTCTTCGTTTATACAAGGCTGTTCCTGCTCGCGATCTCAAAGCTCGGCTCTGTCGGTGACCAAGCTGCTCACGAAGTCAACATAATTCCCTGGGAGCAGTGGGGCCCACGTTCGTCTTTCTGGTTCGAGGAGGGCAGTTATGTCGGAAGCTTGTTACAAGAAGAATTAGGCCCTGATACAGAGGACAAAAAACATGAATGGAAGAATGCGTGCTACGGATTTCGAGTCCTCCTGCCTTCGCAGATGCTAGATTTCACTCCTCTGGATGCGGATGACTGCGAAGATCACCAAACACATGGACAGGGTGACATACACCTCGAGACAGTTGCTGACGAGAAAGCCATATGGTTCACAAAAACAGTGCGCACGACGGCGGCCTATCGCCAAAGCAATACCGAGAACACGTCACTTGGAGGGAATTATGTGTGGTACATTGTTGATGAGGACGTTCTGGGTATCAGTGTAAGTGGTAGTAACTTTGCAATGCAGCGCGCTCATCTTCTTTCTATTATTAGAAGGAAACGGAACAACCCTACAGTGTCGACGTGCTGACAGCCGGCGATGTAACGGCCTCACTGTCTCAGGATCTCGGCCACATGTCGATTACTGACTAGCTTTCAGTTCGGCCGCCTCTTCTCCACATGATGTAGAGCTATGGCTTCCTATCCATGTTTTTTGATTGCAGAGCGTAGAACAAGTTGATGAATGTATGATATGGTACTATTACAATACTCGACAACCGGAAATGTGGGCACCATGGCTGCAAAGCCAGGTCTGCGAACGAGCCGAGGTGTCGCCCACGATGGCTGGGGGCGTCAGCGTGGCAGGGAAGCACGAGAATGTGTCCCTGTATCTGCCGCACTAGCATGCCTGCTTATGAATATCAAGATCCCCGTTTTCACAATCCAGTTTCTGAATCAGTCTATTAGCGGCGGGTCGATCTCTCGCGCCACAATGATGACGACTCAAATGAGGTATACGGCCGACGAAATCAACGAAGACTAAAGGAAGTGTTGCCTGTAATTACACGCTGCAACAACAGGATATACTGAGCATCTCGGTGTAGCCAATATCCCGTCTCTTACACGAAGCATTCCCCATGTTCTAGACCTACGGCCTTCCCGACCTTCATGCATCCCTCTCCGGTCGAGTCGTGGCAATAATAGTACTTTCCGCCACGATCTCTGCACTGATGTGCTGCGAGTATGCCCACGGAGTTGGCGGGTTTACATCTGCAAATAATTGTGAAAGTCAGGCAAGACGTGCGATATTTAGCAGCGGGTATGACGCACTTTTTGACTGCTTCTGTAAGCTTCTCGCCGTTATTGTAGCAAGTCCTCCCACGCGCCGCCAGCTGGAACGTGAAAGTGCGTTTGTGAGATGCACAAGCAGAAGAAACGAAAAGCCACGTACTAGATTCACCAACTCGCGAACAAGGGGATGATTCTTGTGCTCCTCCCAGTCGCGAGCGTACAGATCGTCCTCGCGGGCAAACAGCCCGTCATTATCCCACACATCCCTGGCAGCCAGACCTATGTCGGAGTCGTCGCGGTCATGGTAATCCGCAAGTATAGTCGTAGCAAAGAATGCGAGGAAAAGGAGGATGGACTGAATAGTACGCATTGCAGCTTCTGTGTCGTGAATAGTGGACTCGATGCATTGACACGCTGATATTACCCTGTATTTATATGCGACCTCAGAAAACCACGGGCGCCCGAGAATGAAACCCCCGGCCTTGGATGCTGTCCGGACACCGCTGTGGGGTCGCCTCTTGCTGTAACTGATGAGCTAGTACAATGCTGTCACCTGTGTGATGGACACCGTAGCTTACTGGTCCAATAATCATACATGTTCGTTCTACAGTATCCGACTAGGTAATGGGCCCGGACCGATGAGTACAACCGCAATGTTCTTGAGAAGCCGGAAGCAACAGAGCATAGCGAGTCTGAACATATTTGCGTTCAGTCAGCGGCAAACGACGAGGGCTGAGAGCTGAAGGGCGAGACTAGCACTGCGCCCACTGGCGATCCGAACAATGGGCGGTCTGATATCTTGTGTCAAGTTGCAGTGCTGCGGAGCATGAGACGTTTGCTTGACGCCGTGCAGCAGATCCCAGAGCGTCTTTGAGAAAGTATACGAGCCACTTCCGCTGTTGTTTCTACTATCCGCAACCAGAGTTGTCGCTTGTGTACGTTTGACGTTCTCAGTGATGGGTGTAATGCCGCGACCATATGACAGAAGGTGACAGAGTCCAACGGTATGGGCGTTTGTGGGCGCGTCGTCGGCGCAATTTGCGAAAGCCGAAGACGTGGTGTGACTGATTGGTACCTCAGCGACTCTGCGAGGTACTTCGCAGCCATATGCGACCGAAGGCAATGGATGCGCAGCTATCGCGCTGACTTGTGACAGCTTGCGCTTCCCGAGTTAGCAGGTGCTTCAAATGTGGCGGATTGTAGTCTCGCACATTTCTTGAGTACTGTACAATATATATCAGATAGCACAGCTAGCGTACTCTATTTGCGCAAGTAGCTCTTGAATCTGTAGCTCACCAGGTCAGGGTCAAGATCGAGATCAATTTTCGACGGACAGCCATGGCAGCGGAGAAACGATTAAAGATTATCCGTGATTGCGACCAGTGCCTGGTATAGTGCGTTTTGAAAGATTGTGATGTACGGTTTAAATATTGTGCAGTGCAATAGACTAGAATGTCCCGGTTCCGAATGTTGTACCAGAGAAGACAAATGAACAGACACATCCCCTCCTGAAATTGACCATGCGAAGACTGTCTCGCGTCAGCCAACTAATCGACACAAACGAGCCAAAGTCGGGACGCACTTAACGTGTAACAGCCAACCAAAGATCCTAGTCTATAAACGATTCCCAATCCGCGATGGCGCCGGTGTTCACGACGCTACTGGCCGACTTCGCCCGCAATAGCTCTATGAAATCCACCAGGAACTGCACCTGTTCGTACGTTTCCACGGCTTTTGGGCTGCGCTGGCGCCTTACGATGCCAATCACACGCTCCACGAGCTGCATCGTGTCTCGGCGCACCATATGGCGTTCGAGCAGCTCGGATGACGCCGCGCGAACCTCAGGTGCAGCGGGCGCGGGCGCGGTCTCGATCCAGCCGCACAGCCCGAGCTTCACGAGCCAGCAGCATGCGACAAGCCCTGCGCGCCCAAGCCCGCCGCGGCAGTGCGCGAGGACGCTCGCGCCACGCAGGGTGTATGTGTTGATGACTGTGGTGAGCTCCGTGTCAAGCGCATCTGCGGACGCGGGCGGAAGACCCTCGGGGATAGGTATCCTACATGTACAATCATGATCAGAATGTGCGGCAGCAGGGGAATACAGCGCGCGTCTCACCGCAGGACATCCATCCCCAGCTCGTTGGTGAGGCACGCGTAATCGTTCCAGGATACGCCCAATAGCTCGAGCTCGTCGTCATCCAAGCAACTAGATAACGCACAGTACACGATTAGCGCTGCAGCCTGAGATGTGGTCAATTGGAGCCACTATCACCCTTACCAGACGATGCAGGCCACTCCGAGCTCCTTGATACGTTGCAAATCCGCAGTCAAGTCTCTGCATATTGTAGCCCGACCTTTCACCGGCCCATTTAACCTCACTGGGTAGACTGTGTGTGAGCGGTATGCGTCGCGCCAGACTGCCGGTACGCACCTTTCTTTCCTGGACAGGAAGACAGGAAGAGGTTCCCTAGCGTGAATGACGTAGGCACTGCGAACTGCGGAGGCATCGAGGGCACCGGAACTTCTGGCTCGCATGTGTTCCCGTGTGGAATTGCGGAAGGCGCCGAATGCGATCTCCGCAGATCACCTTCTGCGATCTTCTTGTGCGCCGAGAGGACATCGCGCGAAACATCCAAGAAGTCTATTTGGCCAATCCCGCCGTCTCCGACTGCCGTCTGTGGGAGACACGTTGTGCTGTGCCCCCTGCCATGTGGAACAGAACTCAAGTCGTGAGATGTCCGCTGCGGAGACGCCGGATCGATCTCTGCCGTCATACAGAACGCGCGCTTCAGCTGAGCGGGGTTTATCCATAAACAATGTGCCGGCTTCGCGGGTCGCGGCGTACTAACAAGCTTGGGCGCACAAGGAGGAGTGATCGAGCGCAAGCCTAGCACAGAATTAGGGGACGGTGCAGGTGGAACCGCTGCTCGACAGACAAAGTTAGCGCGAAGATCCGGTAGATGTGTGACGACGCGGTCGATGTGGTAGGCGGGCGGTAGGTCGAATATGACGGGGGACGGTTCCTCTACGCGTGTAAGATGAGAAGAAATAACGCGCAGGAGCTCGAACGGGATAAGGGGAGATACTCTACCGAGAGCGCCGTCGTCAGCATCTGAGGAACGCGATATATGCAACGGCTCACTTGATCGGATGCGAGTCAGATGTTTTGTACTGAGGCTCTGGCATTGGCAGGGTAAGCGGTGCGAGCGGTGCAGATATCGCGGCAGACAATGCTTGTGACAAGTCCGCACAGGAAGAATGGCGACTGAGACGTGGACGTGATGGATCAAGGTCCACCTTAATGAGCCCTTCTGCTGGGAATATCTTCTTCGAGAGCCACCATGCTTGTTGTTGGGCGCAGCGAGCTTGATGATCCTTCAGCTGCTGAATCCGGTCTGGACATTGCAATGATAATGGCACATATGTCACTGGAGACCCTATACGACGGCATATTTCAGGTTTCCGTAGATTACTGTGAGATCATAAAGTGACACCTTGAGGCCCATACTTTAGTCGTTGATACTCGCTGGACTGATGCATTGACGATAAACATATTAGCTGCGAAGAGCCACCCAAGATTTTAGTGTATAAGCTTCGGTATCAGATTTATAATCGCACCTGAGCTACAGGTGCTAACTTCAGGTCTTCTACGGACAGACCTTCTGGCGTAAGCTGACCGCAATCGTCCGGAGCAGCCACTATGTTCATGACCTGAGTAACATGCGAAGCGAGTGGTGAAACAGTCTGAGTTGTTGTAACAGACATTGTTGAGAAATGAATACGAAACAGCGATGCGAAGTGCGCTGATGACCGAAGCGTGTCGCCCGACGGTCAGGTATATGCGCCGTGCTAGGATAGTCCTCGATTGGTCAGAAACCTGATGACCCTCATCCAACAGTCACTTTTAGAGGCAACTCAGCAAAGCTCGAGACAGCGGGGGAAAGAGAGAGAGAAAGAGAAGAGGATGACAGCAACCGCGACAGCAGCCAATTGGCGCCCGTCGCTGGATACTGTCTGAATATGGTAGGCACTTGATGAATACTACGCTTGCTCGATTTGGACACCGCACAGAAGCTCAACTCGACCCATTGGTTGGTGGCGTTGTTTTAAGTCTCTAAATTTTTCTTTAGACCCAACATAGTAATTCACGGTACATGAGTATGAAGGACAGCATGGTGCGAGAGCATGAGGACCCGAGCGGGTGGGCGAAGGAGGCTGCCGCCGGAACCAACATATGAAATCTAGCATTCGATCATTGTGGTAATCAAGAAGAAGGGATGTATCAGCAGCCGAAGATGATCGCACTCAATAATCTTCCACACGGGTAACGCGTGGGGGGCGAGATAGTACACTCTCATACCTCGTGATTCTGACTCGTCACTGGGACGCCACAATTTGCTTGCCCACAGGCTGTATCGTATGTTTCAATACACACAACGCCAACGTTCGCCCCAACGGACGCCCCCCGGTCGAGCGTCTTGGCTGCTGCCGCCGGGCGAGTAAGCGTTCACACCGGCGCCGGGAAAGCACATGCATTCATATGTCACTGGGCCGAGTGGACCATGCGGTACCCTGCAGTCCACTCCGCGTCTAACCCACTTGAGCCACGGACGATGCTGCTTCTGCTTCGATTGGTATGATGGGAGGCAACCACATTTGCAAAACGCTTGCCCGCAGGATATAAGCCCACTGTAAGCGTTCCCATAACCCCACAGCCGATCGCAGTCCTCAGCAACTTGCGCTCACCTACCTTCCCTGTCTCCATCCGCTCCTTATTCGCAATGCGCTTCGCAGTCAGAGTCATCATCGCCGCCATCGCAGTCGCTGCGTTTGCAAACGCCGCCCCGGCTCCTGGTGGCTGCCTACCGTCCGAGCCCGCCTGCGGACACGCCGATATCGCCATTTCCGGCCCTTAGAGGACGGTTATGCTCGTGAGTCGTTTCGAATAATACAAGCGTGGCGAAAGCTCACTTGCATCGAGTGAAGTTCGCCCTGGTGGTACGCGGATTGCTCATGTTCTCATGCGAGATTAGATGACTTGAGCGACGTTGCAGAGAGATCCGCAATTGCTGTACGGGCCTGTTTCAGTGGATTGCGAATAGAGGATTCTGTGTACTGTACTGCAACTACGTTGTATGAAATTGTCTTCCGTGATGTTCGCCTCCGTGATATCTCAGACGACCGGAGTCCCACCCGACAGATGATAAACAGAGTGTATTAATACCTAGGTGATCAGGAAATCACTACAGTGTTGTAACAACCGGCCGACCCACGACATCTAGGGCTATATACAATGGAGTCGGGGAGGAATCCAACAGGGCAAGAATCGTATGCATCGCAGGCGGCAGGTATGTAATGCAAAGGGCAGGGGGACTCGGAGTGCGGATGGTATATGTGACAATGCTATACGAGCCTGTTGGCCGGCTATGCTAGAGTAGTAGATGGCAAGAATCGGTCCCGCAACCGCTAAAGACAGACGGGTATACCTAGTAAAACATTAAACGAACAGCGAAAATGCAACATCTGCACGGCACTCAAATCCGCGCAGATGGGTCCAAAGGTCCCAGAGGGCCGTACTCTTGCGTCTGTGACCGCCCCACGCTCCGTTTCTTCGCATGTGTCTTCCAATCGCTCCCAATCGCGGTGCTGGTTCCGTCCGTGGACCGCACTGGGGACACCGGCGAGATGTTGTGGTCGCGAGGAACAGGAAGCCCTGGTGACGCGGAACGCGAGAGCGCCGCGTAGCCCTTCGTGCCCTGTGTCGATCGGTCTGATAGCTGATATCGCGGGGCTTGTGATTGCACGCGCGACCCGGGTGGTGATGGCTCGTCGTCGAAGCCGACCTCCAGCTTAGCCATGAGGTCAGAGCCTGCGACGGATTCGGCGCTCTGGAATCCGTGCTGCATGAGTCCAACAGGCGGTGGTGGGTACGCCGCGCTGTTCTCGTTGTAGCCGCCTATTTGCGCGCCCCATTGGTCGTCATCTGATGAGGCAATGGACACCGTGTCGGAGGAATATTGACTATCGACCCGCACGCCTAATTCGCCGTTGGCAGTCATGTAGTGGTTCTGCATACGGTCGAGTTCTCTTTGGCGTCTCTCTTCCCGGCGAAGCTTGCGGAGGCGCGAGCGTTCCCAGTCTTCCCAGCGGCGAAGAGGGACAGCAGCGCCAGCAATGATAGTGCCACCACTATCATGCCCTTCGCTCTTGGCTTCGCCTTCGACTTTTCTGCAGACAGAGGGACATCAGCAAACACTCCGAGCATACCCATCAACAACGTACCTCGTTTCACCCCATGAGAAGTCGTCGAAGTGCCAGAATGCGTATACAGGAAGGATGAGATTCCACACAGGAAGCGCGAGGAGATATATCAACATCCAGAAGACATACACTACCTTCCGAGTGGTCAACATGATCAGGACACCCGGCAGACCGAGCACAGCACCGAGCAGCATCAGAGGGATGGCCTCCTCGAATGTCTTGGGCGGGTTGAAGGCCATGCTGATGATAAGCATGTACGTAAGAGCAATGGCAATTGGAAGGACGACTGTTCCGAGCAAGTCCATGAAGACCACGAATTGCGAGCTGAAGCAGAACGTCCCGCAGGTATTCCGAACGAGGACGAGCTCCATGAGGTTGTGAATGGTCGAATTGATCCAACGCCGGCGCTGCGACAGCAGCACAGAGAATGTATCTGGTACAACTGTCCGGCAGCGCGCTTGTGGCAAGAATAGCATCTTCCGGTTGGGGAATGTCCGGAACATGATAGTGGTAAGGAAGCGGTCCTCGCCGAGTAGCAGGAGATTCTTCTGGTGCAGGGTCGTGACAATACTCTGGCTGTACTGCTGACAGATTTCCGGCTTTGTGATGAGGGGAACCCAGTCGTCACCAGACGCCTTCCGTGCCTTGAGACGAAACATGGAGAAGCACCCAGGGAGACAAGAGACGCCACCGAAGACAGATTCGAACGCCTTTGCCATATGATGGGAAATGAAGTACTCGAAGACCTGAATCGCGGTCACCCATGATTGCCGCTTGTTTGCGATACGTGTTTCTCCACAGACACCCATGACCATCGGATCGTGGTGCATACAATTGACGAGGTACGACAGCGAGTCCGGGAACACTTTGGTGTCGGCATCAACCTAAATATAAAAATGGCAGTGTTATTTTTGGTCTTCAGCGAATCAGGGAATTTACGGCACCATCAAGCAGACTTCAAAGAAATCCGGCGTCACTCCCATCAAAACGTGTATCTTGCGGAAAAGGTCATAGTCGAAAGGCGTCATTCTGTCATTGTATGTAACGCGAGAGAAGAAGTTCATCAGGATAAGTTGACTATCGCGCTTCCCGCGATTTCCCGGTTTTTTCTCAGTAGCGGCCTCGGCCTCGGTGCCGCACTTGACGATGATGACAGCTGGCGTTCGACGTCCAGCAACGGCTATTGAACGCCGTCAGCACGAATTCCTGCATATAGCCCCGGGGCCATCATGACACTTACTGTAATGTCCGGCATACACCATCGCCCTGTTTTCTGCCTTTGCCCCTGCGCCCACCGCAACGTAGCTCATTGGGACGGGGTTGCCAAATCTTGGATCCGGCTCCAACAAGCTGACACAAATGTCCGGCGTACTCTTCTTCTCCCCAGCACCGGTGATCATCCCATCTGCAACGATGAACAATAGTTTTCGGGAATCCGCGTACGTGGTGCTCGAAATCGAATCCAGAGTAGTGCGCAGTGACTCCTCGCCTTCAGAATAACAGGTCACCAAGCAGACTGCAAAGAGCTCAGCGCCGATCTGCGCGAGGCTCATGATGGGCTGTGAGGATTCGCCGTTGACAAGAGTTGAGGCCGACGAGGTGAGTGACCTCTCGCCTTTTGGCTTCCCCAGCTTCTTCGATCTTCCCGGACCTGCCCATGGGGCAGTCCCGTTGACGTTGTCAACTGATATGTTCGCGCCTTCGGGAAGGACGGCGGGACTGATAGCGTGGCGATTGAGCTCGCGACGGTCCGGCGGGCTGCACAGTCGTTCGGATACGAACCACGAGAATACGCATGCCATCACAAACCGGATGAGGACGAGGCCGAGCACAACGATCAGCCCTGCGTACAAGACGAGCTGGGAGAGGAGGCATCCGGGCGTGATCTTGTCAATGTTTCCGGCGTAGTAGCGCTGCATCATGCATGGGACTGCCTGGCGGATGTTTGGGCGGTAGTAGAATAGACGTGTTCCGTCCCGTCCGCTGTTTCCAGGGGCCTGCAATACGCTCCGGATCGCGGCGTCGAGGGCGTCGGTAGGGATTGGATCTGGGTGCAGTAGCATGTAGCTGTTCATGTTGAGAACCGCACCGTCAATAACGAAATAGTTCTCTAATGCGGCCACTTGGTCCCAGTCATAGCCGACAATAAAACTCGTGTTGACAAGGCCAAGGGAAGAGAACGTAGTGCTGGATGTTAATGAACCCAGGGAACACTTTGTCACGCTGGCAGTGCAGGGAGCCTCTGCAGCAGCACGGAAGGACAGGCCATTGCAGGCAGGATAATCTGCCGCCTCGCGTTCGAACAGGGTCGTGATGTCTTGACCAGGTGTCTCTACAAGCGCGGTGAAGTTCGCCCCGGATATGTCGCCATACTTCGTTACGTTCATCATCCAGCCCTGCACGCCCAGGACACCATTCGCAGTGCCTAAGCTGACGTACCGGCCGGTATTGATCTGATCTGTCGCGGGACAGAGGACCTTCTGGAGGCCGACAGTGATGAAGCCAATTATAGCGCAAAGGCAGGAGATAATGAAGCACAGGGCCATCTTCTCCCGCCATGCCTGGACCTTATGTTTATCATCAAGCCCGCCGATGGAATGCAAAACTGAAGAGGGAGCCCAGAACGTGACAACGCGGGAGAATATGCGCCAGGCATCGAGCGTTTCGTCTTCTGCGCGGACTTGAGAGCCGGTGGGTAGATGCGCGGACTGGGGGTTGATAAGCGGAACGGGTGCAACGCTTCGCTCAGGCCGTGTAAGCGTTTTCGCGCGGCGGATGGTCGTGGTCGCGGGATTGAGAGCGCGGCTTGTTGGTACGGGGACGTCAGGGTCGTTGTATCGGACACGATTAGACATAGTAAAGGAGAGTGGCTGGCGCCGCAGGGCCAGTGAAAGGAGTGAAGGGAAGGACCAACGAACGGCGACGGGGTAGTCTAGAACGGTGAGCCAAGCGCGCTCGTCGTCGTGAGCGACGTCGGGCAATTTCTGATATTGATTGCAGTGGAAAGGTTGGATTTGCATTGATAACTTATTACCAAAAGACTTACCATCGCAAATCGATTTTCCCATCAGATCTGAGGCGTTGCTCGGTTACCCACTAGTAGTACTATCTCGTCTGCGGAGGCTACATTCGCGTTTGAGAATGTGAATTGCCGCTCAAAAAGCCTACCCTCGGGCCTCTGCTTGGCAGATCCCCGCACAATAGCGGTACAATTACACGTATCCTCCAGTCTCGGGGGAGCTATTGTGAGTCAATATAAATGTCTTGACTCACTGGTCACAACTGTCTGGTTAGGAGCCCACGCGTTTCATATACGTTGTATATGCCTATGCCCATAGCTGCAATGGCGGCGCCTCTAGATACGACGTAAGTGTCCACCGCTCGTAATAGAGATGCACTCTGTGCTGGTCTCCCGTGCTGTCGTAGGTCGACACTTGATGGCAACTTGGATGGTTTTGATCCAGCTCAATTCAAGTTGCTCTCTTGTAGTCTCGGTCTCACAGGGGAGGGAGTGGACCAATACCCGCCAATTCGTCTCAGCGGCCTTCTCGTTACACGTTACGTCTGTCATCTAGACCGCTAATCGCCGACTCGACTCGCACCCTTTATTTTGGGTATCGGTTCCGAACCAAGTCAACCTATAGCGGCGAACGCTGATGTCAGAGCTGCGCAATACGGCCGCGCGTTCTGCAACTCGATTACATCGATCTTGGATCTCAACGGTAGTATCGATCGGTATCTCCCACTCTGGACGATCGCCTCCGCAGCCAAATGTATAGAAGATCCACGCCGACAGCTTCCGAGGACACGGTGGGACTGCCGCAGCGCACTCAAGCCGCAGTTCACGTCATTCATATCGCGCCCATATTACCGTGCGTCATATGGTGGTCATTGCGCAAGGTGAACCCCGGGTAATATTGGCAATTCATGCGCAGAAGCCAGACGCGATGTCTACGGGCTGCGGTGAAGTACTATAGGCAAGCTGATGCCGGATGTTGCATAACTCTGAGTTATCTCTAGCATTGAGACGCAGTCATACCTTTGACGCAATCTCATACGTCTTAGATAGTGTCATCACCCTGCACCTATCGCAGCAGGTATCCAGGCATTACGGCAAAAGCTTTATGGACAGTTAAGCAGAATTGTGATTGGAAAAAGTAGGAACTATACATTAATGATACATTGTCCATAGACTACTGAAGCAAAGAAGGATCCTAACTAATAAACAATTTGTCCTCTGCAATCCAATATGAGATAATAAAATTTAAGGAACAGTAATGGGGGAAAGCACCAGTATATGGCAATGCTTTGTTGGTGAGTTGCATAATCAGAGAGTAGGAAATCAGACTCGATAGCGGTAACAGCAAAGCAACAGTAAAGAAAAAAGGATCTGGTGCACGGTCAGCCAATGAAACTCGCTGAAAAGGAGGAAAGCGTTGAACAAACCCCAAGCTGCATTTCTATCCTCGGAAACCTCTGTCTTGGTAAAGTGCGGCTAATGTCTGCCGTGCGGCTTCTTCCTTGACGGCGCCCTGGCTGGTCCCAGTGCTCTTGCCGTACTCTATTCCTCGTACTAGATGCAGATTTTGGTCAGTCATTGGTGATATAGCTGCTTAACATGCTACGTACTATATGCGACTGCCGTCCATGATGGCTGGTGCTGTGGGCCGGACTGGTAGACCTCCCATGTCAACGAGCGAGAACCGCCATTGCTCTGGAGATAATTGTTGAGCTGCATGCGCCAGTCTGAATGAATCTCAGCAGCGGAATCATTTTGAACATTATGCAGCAGCGTACGGAATGACTCGGCCATCTCTGTCTGCTTCGTGTGGTATGAGGGTGGAGGGGCTTGGAAGTGGGAACTGTGTGAAGTAGAGCGAATGAATATATGTGTGCCATTCAACACACTTTATAACGACGTGTCCTAGGAGCCGTGTCCACGTCCTTGTGAGTCAGGCAATGCACAGCAGATTCACTCACAATACACTGATTCAGCGGTTCCGTATTGTCGGTATGCGTGAAGCACGCCCTCCCGTACCTGCTACTCCCCGATGTTTGATGCGGACTGCGAGTGTGGTATGGCCGGGGTGGTGTCACCTCGGGCTAGTGCCACAACTAGTCATTTCGGTGCCATATGTGCCCAAAAGCTACGGCCCGACGTTGTCCGCATAGAAGTTCCTGCATGCCCCGAGGTACACACTATGCTCTTGAAACAAGTTAACCAGGCGCAATGACAGGCGCAGTTGCTGCGAGCTGGGCATATTGTCCCGAAATAGCGGGTACTGACAGCTTATAAACGTGGTCAGTAAGACGAATTCACCGGCGCATTCGCTGATAGCTACGTCAATCATCGAGTCAGTAGTCAATGAGAGCGTCCTCAGGCCAACTGCTTCAAAGTGCCGGGCGGAAACGCCTAAGAGACAAGTCATTGCCGAACTGACTCGTCCACATACCATAGAAAGCCAAACGGGGACACGTGACCGTGACGAGTCACGGCAAAAGCGGCGCGTTCACACCGCCTCCTCAACGCACCCACGCCAAACCTAGTACGACTCTCCTTGTAACGCACGAGCTGTCGCGGGAAGCCGCGACTTGCTTCCGCTATCGTCTTGCCCTGCCAGACGCCGATACAGATGCACTATAGCGGGGCCGCTAGGTCCGTTGATCCAGCGGAACCGTCAGTTTGGGTCCGGATCCTAGTTCACTGCCAATTGTTATTACTGCTTTACAGTGTTTCGTCCGACTGTCAATTTGGCGCATTGTCTTCAGTGTCTCACTTGCACCTGCTATAGCACCGCTCGTTAAAGACACAATGCCATGGAGACGTCCTTACCTGACGACTATCGCCTTGACTAAAAGTCGCAACGACAGTCAATTTATTGCGAGTAGCACTGCTGAGTAGCTTTACGAAGCCATGGATGCCGGCTTTCTAGCTTCATGTTCACGAGTGCCGCGGAAACCCTCAGTACGTCAGCTATCAGGCCATCCCGGGACCGGACAGTTCGGTGTTAGCCATACTGATGTACTCACTGGGCGCCTCAGTTGGTGCCATATGGAGTCTTGATCCTTCCGGACAGACTGATAGTATCTAACGAGATAGAACGAGCGCTGTGACAATAGCGTACGTCGTCCTGTGTCAGAAGTTCTGGCCTTTGGCTTACGCAGAGGATTGGCCTGAAACAAAAGAAATAACCTTCACCGCAACCCGGGTAGGAAATCCTCATTGAGTGTCCAGCCGCGCGTCGCGACCAGCCTTCCCAGTCCGCAGGTTCATTGTTCGGTAATTGAGAATCGTGGTTCGATTTGTGTCCAGGGGTTTCATGAGGATCAAGGCCAAAGAATGCCTACAAACACACGGGAAATGTAGGCCGACACTTACCATTGAGCCAATGGAGCGATGGCGAAAGACCCTGACATCGGTAATTGCAATGATAACTGTTGTGACGTGGAGAAACAAGGAAGACGGTGCGACACTGTAATGCTGTTACGGACGTTCAGCTTCAACTCTGACTGACCTTCAACTCCTCCACTCTCCTGCCAACGTCCTCCACCCGCTCGTCGAGGTCCTTCACGTTGCGCTTTACGACATCCTCGTTCTCTTTCATGCTGTTCTCCACGCTCTGCACGGCGCGGTCTAATTCCTCCAGTGCAGCATGGACTTTCCGCTGCTCTTCTTCTAGGCTCGCCAGCGTGGTCTCGAAGGATGCTGCCGACGTATGCAGTGTCGATAAAGTGCGCAGACGTGTCAAAATATGGGGTATCTGTGGCAGGAGCGGTGCCAGCCGCGTAAGAATAGGTGTAAGCTGTTCGTGTAGTGCAGCGGGTATAGTGCTATTGGAAGCTGACGCGGCTCCGGGGTGCGGTGATGCGGGCCCTGATGGGTGGTGTGAAGATTGACGGCGCTGAGAGCTGTGCGGATGAGAATTCGCATTGGACACACGTTCCAGATCAGAAAGAAGAAGCTTCAGTCGCCGTGAAATCGAGTCGACGTGGCGCGGTTGCGTGAGCAGTGTAAGCTGAGCGTGAAGGCGGGTCAGCATTGGCAGAAGCGGTGGTGGTAGAGGTGACGTCTAGATGGTGACGGGCGTCGATTAACCATCATCATCGCTTCGAATAGCATCAATATCGGCTTACTTCATCCAAAGCAGTACTCGAGGACCCAACGATTTTCTCCAGGTCTCCCACCCGACGGTCCATCTCAACAATGTCTCTAACGTCAGGACTCCTCGCCTTCTCTCCTGCAGTGGTATCCTCGCGAGCCGACGGTTTGTCTTTGGGGGCGGCCTTACCAGCATTGGCTGTCTCGGCCATTTTGGGACCCTCCTCGCCAAGGACCACGCTGACAAGCCTCCCTTTGCCTTCTTTGACTTTACTGATCTTCTCTAGGCGGCTCTTCACGTCCACCATTCCTCGGATGAGCTCGCCCGGGTCGTGTCCTCCCTCACGCTCTTTCTGCAGGAGCGGATTCGATGGGTCTGCGAGCTCTACTTCGAGGGCCGCCAATTCGACCTGCAGCAGTCGTAGACGCTGAGAGAGAGGCATAGCGGGCGTGGCGGCAGGCGTAGACGGGGGTGACCCATCCGACGACGTTGGGGATGGCGGATAAACATACTGTATTCGTGGCCTGTGGTGTTCTGACCTAGTATCAGTCTCATGAGGACGCGAGCATTATGGGCGGACGCACTCTTCTCCGCTTTCCTGAATTTCTTACTGGCATCCTCAGCACTCAGATTGCTCATATCGAGCTCCTCTCTGCCTGATTCTCCATTCTTGCCTCTGACATGCGAGCGCGTGGCGACACCTACGTCTTCGTCACTGGTGTCGTCTTTCTAGCAGAAGAATGAATTAGAGAACTTGGCTGGATTGGATTGATCACGGAAAGAAACATACGCTGTCATGGGCCGATGGTAGGACGTCCTCAGTTTCATAGACATCCTGCGCGGTGTCCTGATAATAGATTAGTCGACAGTTATACCAAAACAGAAAACAAGGCGTACAATGTCAGGGAGGTTAGAGTACTTGTTCGCGCTCATCACTACCACGAGATCGCGTTTAGAAAATGGTCAGATTGGCTGTCGCGTTACGCAAAAGTGCGCAAGGTATCGATTACGGCTCCAAAACGTGCAACGAGCTAACGGCTGGCAAAATGGCACACTTGGAAGTCCGGACACAGAAGCAGACGTCGAGCGTTGAAGCTGAAGCTTGAAGTAGCAGAACTACCACGTGGGAAGCCAGCACAAAGGACGAAAAAACGCGTCACCTGTGCGATTCGAACACACGCGGGCAAAGCCCAACCGCTGTCAGCTGAAATAGCAGGCGATCCCGTTAACCACTCCGGCAAAGTGACTCGATTTTGCAGTGCTGCGGCATATTTATGTACCGATCACTTCCTCACCGCCTGGAGCTGGTACTGCCGCAAAACGTAAGTACATCCAACGCTCTGGAGACATTCTACAGGACCCTCTATATGGAGTCGACACAACGCCCGAATCCTTGTACACTCTCATATACATTTCTTGACATCTGCTAAGCTAGGTGTGGACCATCATATAGCTTTCGATAAAGCCTCAACAGTTGCTTGTGGCTGATCCCAATGTGGCTGTAACAGACGCTGAGCATCTCTACGACCGCTGTCAAAACCCCATACTCACGAAATGGTTGACCCCTTCCATGCGCGTGATAGCAAACCTGCGTCCGTCCTTGGGCCAAGACTCATCCAACATCTTGTGAGCGTACCACGCGGCATAGACACACTCTGCTAGCGATCTATCACACCAGAGGAGGATCGCGCGCATATGTGGCCACGCAACTTTCTCGTGGAGCGCACGACGCATGTTATCGACGTTGATGGACGAGTCCACGCGGAAAAACGCTGTTTGCGACCGCTCCAAAACTGAATTATCAGTCGTAGCCGCGCTCTCGTCCGCAGACATGCGTTGAATTGTAGGTTCAATGTCGCAGACAAGATTGGCGCCAGAATGTGGCGAGAGACCAGCGAAGAAATTTTCTCGGGTTATCGAGGCGATATTTGAGAGAACCGTCGAAGAATGTGTATAATAAGCTGAAACCATCTTCTCGAAGGCATCGATAGCCGGCGTCCCAACATATTTAGGGTCTCGATGAGGTGCGTAGATTTCCTCAAGAGTGGGGTGCGGTGCACCAAAGACTGTGTACGGTGGATCTAGGCCAGATGTCATTGACGCTGATGTTCAGATAGCTGTCGGTACGTACCATATACAACTAGTGTGCGCATATAAGGCTCCAGCAGCTCCTTGGTCTCTTCCGGCAAGCTATCCGCATGAGCGACCAGGGACATGGTCATACAATTCCCCCAGGACCATCCGAGTAGAGCGAGTCCTCCAGCGACTGTTTCTTCGACCCCGTTACCGCTGGGGGAGATCGTCATAGGAGGGATACCTTCCTTACGGATAAACCAGGCAAGGAATGACGCAAGCTCACGGCCGCGATCCCGGATCATAGCCGCCTGCATCTCTTTGTCCGGGCTACGTAGTGCGGCATGCTCCTCAGGCGTGAAGGGAGTTGATCCAGGGTAGTCCCGAAGTGTTACAGCGACGAGGCGTATGTCATACTCTGCTGCGTGCTTAAACATGGGACGGTAGATCGCTTCATGGGTCCACTGTCAGCGCCTATCATGCATAGATGAACTAGAGTCGCAGATACATACGAGTGTGGAAGACACTGCCATGCACCAAAACAAGGGTGACATATGCCTGCGATCCAGCGGGTGCCCCGCTGTCCTCGTAGTACAGCTGGACACCTGTGTCATCAATGGGCGCGTGAGGCATGCCGAGGGGGAGTTAAGTGCGTGTACTGTTCAAGCTGCTAAAGCCCTATAAGCTTGCGACAGATCCTTGACAACGCTTACAGTGTCAGTGTCACAGCGATCTGTCAGCGGCCTGCGCAATTGCGAGATTCAAGAAAATACGTGTTCATGAGGGCGTAATGAGAATGTCAATTAACGGCATGCTGCCCTGAAGCGATTCAGTTGCACTGAGTGATTCCGAGAGAATACATCGTAACCGCCGAATGGCAGGTCGGAAACATACAGAACTTCTTAGTCTGACGCAGCTTGCGGCCACTTTGTCAGATCACTTACGAGAAGCCCGGGATTCGTGGTGAACGTGGGCCATACCGGGATTGATTGCTTGGGAAATAAGGTCTACGAAGCCCGTGTTAAGGCATGGGAGGCGAGATAGTCATTGAGCGGACCCATAATCATTACAAGATATTTCAACTTAGAGGCAGTCTATGTAAGCTCTGCCAACATGCGAACAGTGGCTTCCGGCTGATCCCAGTGCGGCTGTTCGGGTCTGTCAGCATCCGAAGCCTCGTAAAAAGTATGACAAGCTCACGAAATGATTTGCTCGTTCCATGCGCTTGAAGACAACCTTTCGTCCCTCCGCTGATTCAGGCTCCATCATCATCTTTTGCGCAAACCAAGCCGCATACACGAGCTCCCCGGGCGACCTATCGCACCACACGTGTACAACACGCAGGCGCGGCCAAGCGGTTTTCTCCAAAAGCGCGCGGCGTGCGTTCTCGTGGTAGACGGAAGGGTCTACGTCCATCATAGCTATGTGCGAACGCTGCATGACCGAGAAATCGGCGATCACGTCAATCTCGGCTGCGGACATTCGCTGAATACTAGGCTGTGTGTCTGGAGATAGGTTGTCGGCCGCGTCTTGTGCGATTCCCGAGAACAGCTCGGCACGGCTCAGCGCAGGTAAGTTTTCTAGCACCGTGTCGGAATGAAGATAGTATTTTGAGACCCAATTCATGAATATGTCGCTGACGGCTTTAGCGGACACTCTTGGGTCCCGCTGAGGAATATACAATTCCTTGAGAGCAGGTTTTGGCGCGCCGAAGACAAAGTGCGGCGGATCTGAGGCCATTAGCTGTAGGAGATAGTATAATCGCCCCGTTGAGTACGTACCATAGACGAAGAGTGTTCGCATATAAGGGTCGAGAATCTCCCGTAGTTCTGTTGGAAGGCTGGCCGCATGCGCCAACATTGAAAGTGTCATGCAATTCCCCGACGACCATCCTAGAACCGCCATCCCACCGGAAACATCAACGCGGCCGTCAACGGAGTTGGATGAGAACGACATCGGTGGTATGTTCTCGGTGCGAATCAACCATGCGAGAAATGCTGCAAGTTCGAATCCGCGGTCGCGAATCATAGAGGCCTGGACTGTAGAATCTGGGCTACGCAGTGCAGCGTGTTCTGCGACCGTGAATGGAGTGGATCCAGGATAGTCCCGCAGCGTCACAGCAACGAGACGCATATTGCACTCGCCCGCAAACTGGAACATGCGGCGAAAAATTGCTTCGCGTTTGTATAGGTCAACTCTTCTGCCGCACAAAAGATTATTGCGACATACGAGCGTGAAAGACGGCACCATGGGCCAGAACAAGAGTAACATAAGAAGTCGATCCAACCGGCGCTCCACTGTCCTCGTAGGAGAACTGTACACCAGTATCCGTCACAAGTGCGTGAGGCATGTCGGACAACACTTGGTTCGTGATTGTCAGGGGAAAGGAGATGCCTTGCTTCCGAACGGTATTAGGTCCTTATATAGGACAGCACATAAGTTGGCCCTGTAAGTGATTGTGGACGCTCACAGTGGGAAATCTTACACACATCTAATCCATCATTACGCACCAGAAGCTTTTCCGAAGGCCACAGATGAGTCCCGTGGACTGTCCACGGAGGATTCGATGCTCCGAGTTATCCTCTCTCACGGAAGCATTAGAGTTTCGCTGAGATTATTGGTTGAGGGTTCTGTAATGGCTTTCTATGGACAATTTTGATCTACAAAGATTCAGTGATCCGTGCATACCATGGGTGTATATCGAAGGAGGGTGCATGATCGTGAACAAACTCAGTTGCTATCGCGAGTAGTAGTATTTAGAGTTGCCTGCTAAAAGGTGAATGCAGTCAAGTCTCTCGCGACTTAGAATTGCGAGCGCCCGCCTGGCGTATGCCACCCGTCTCACAAGCCGACACTGGCAAATAATAGAAAATGGATGCCGGCAGGACTCTTACCATAGTAAATAACCAACCATAAGGGGTGCCCTACGGCGTAACAGCATAGAGGACTGTACAGGTAGAGCGGAATTTTGGGATCCTGTACACCGTTGTTCTGAAGTAGAATACTTTGGCGCGCCGGTGTCGGCTTGTGATACGGGTGACATACGCCAGGCGGGCGCTCGCAGTTTTAAGTCGCATGCCCCGGGGACCAATTATATATATCAGGAAATCCTTTGCATGATCAATCTGCCACTCACATAGAAAAATAAGTCGCCCTCTCGCATATGGGAGCGTGAACGCTGTGGACAACTGGTTTTAGGAGCAGTTCAGCACTATGATACTCTAGTGCCATCATGCTCCAGGAAGGAATGCGATTTGATTGGCGCCCAGGCAACATCGAGGCGCACGTTACCGAAACTTCCGAGTCCTAACTCGGCATCTGTTCAACATGGGTTAGCGGCCTGAGTGTATTGCACAGCTTCCAGACCAGACTTGAAACGATACCTCATACGTGCCATCTTCAACATTCACATGTTTGGGCGAAAATGCTGTTCCACCCAGGCAGGCACGTGAAACCTGGACTTCACCATACTGACGTGAGCACCGCAGCGGCCTCCAGACTCCCAAATTTCCCGAAGATGGCTAGAAGAATGTGTACAGTGCAACACAATCGAATCTGATAATAAAACATGAATCAACTATCATCATAGCAGACTCTCGTCCAATATTCTGCATCGCCTTCATAACGGGTGGATGCTGAACGGTATGCAATCAAGTGGACTATCTGAAAGTGAGGCATATTTTATGGCGACCGACTGTATTGCCAAGGTTTCGCTCTATTTAGTATGCAGGAGGCTACTAAGATCAGCGCCATCCTGATGAGATCTCAAAGGCACCATACTAGTACTACTCCATCGGACCGGCAACGGACGAAACTTCATATTCCGCAAACACAGCACCGGGTCGTCGAACACAGCCTAGGCGATATGTGTGTCATCCCTCATGCTTTCGACAGTCGAACATCATCTTCTCAATCGCCCACTCGATGGCAGACTCCACCGCAAGTTGGCATGTAGCCCTGGCACCGGTCGACCGAGCCTACTTCCTGCAACTTGCACAGTCACAGGAAGCGAATCGCAGCTCGGGTATGAGCCGATCATGTGGCGTTTGACCAAAGCTAGTACTGAAGTACTGACATCCCAACCCGTTCAGTCGCCGCCCTGTGTCTACTCGCCTTCGATATCTGCCTTACTACGGATCTGGAGGTGGGTTTCACATTATCACGCTATTGTCCTCGATATCGTTCTGTAGCTCATTTCCTTAGGTGGCGTATATATGGATGTTCGTCATTTGGGACTTCTATAAACCAGCAGCAGCTCATGTACACCCCAGGACAGCATGGTCTCCGCCCAAGGTCCTTTACTTTTTAACTCGATATTACTCGCTAATAGCTCTCATGTGCGTCCGTAAAAGTCTTCATGGATGCTAATGGCTGAGTGAACACTAAAGCATATTGCAAGCACATCGGATGACGTGCCGGCAATGGATCGTCTTCGAAGGTGTATCAGCCCTTATCCTTGAACTCTCCGTCGAGATTATGCTAATCCTTCGATGTCGGTCCCTTCGCTCGTATCTTGCCGTAGTCGCCTCACGTCGTCCACAGTGTATGCTTTGTACACCGGCAACAAGCCAATCGCGCGTTTGATGGTGATACTGTTCGCGACGGAGGGTATCGTGATGCTCACAATGCTCGGAATCAGTATTCCGAGAATCATGACTAGTGCAGGCTGTGTGGAGGCGGATATCCCTGTAGAACTAGTAGCTTACAGGTGTGTTTACCACCGCGCATTTTATATACTGCATTTAATTGACGTATTTATAGCATTACGTCAATTTTATTCGAGACATTCTTGTTCACGTTAACCATACGACGATATCTACAAGCAAGGAAGGCAGGATGGGGTAACATCGACTTACTCGCCGTTCTATTTCGCGATGGTGCATGGGCATTCGCCGTTATATTCGGTTTGTCACGGGTGTATCTGGCGGACAAATCGGATGCTAATAGGATCCCCGCAGCTGTAATGGTCATCAACACAGTTCTCTTTGCATTGGGACCACGAACTTTGGCTGCATTAGGATTTCCGTGAGTTCCTCTAAGTCGTGTTCGTTGGCAAAGCTGACAGTATACTTGTCTAGGTGGTTGCTTGCAATACTAGGGGTTGTGGTTCGTGGCTCCAATCCTAGGGGTACTCCACGGAAACTTGCTGAAACGTACTATAGGGACCACGGCTCATGCTGAATGTACGGGAAATCAATCAGAGACACGCGCCACCGTCCTCGCCGGGGGACATGGACACAGGTATCACCATATATGATCCGCTAAATATAGACGATCCAGATATGGAACCTGATGATAGCGAGAAACTCAGTTGACTTATACACTTCACCCATTTATTATGGCAGTTGACGACACTTTAGTCTGTTGTAGTCATTTTACAGCTTGTAGTCCTGTATGTATTATCCGCTAGTGTACAGATATGACGAGAATGAATGCCAACGAGACGGATAATCTGGGTTGTTATCAAAATAGCTACGTACTGGCGGCCTAAACTGCAGACGAGTGCAGGTCTATGCGTTCCGGAATCATCACATAACATGCCCCGCTTACAATCGGTATGTTCCACATTCGACTCATTTGTATGCCACTTTATGCTTCAAGAATCACTTTGGTTCTCGAATGCAATAGCAATGCCATCAAATGCCGGCTTCCTGACGAAGTTCTGATCCACATGAAAAATACATATTGAGTAAGAGAATGAGCCCGGCTTATGACATAGTGATACGCACCGCATCCCACGGACAAGCATCTCCGTAGCCGGGGAAAGATGACGGGATCCAAGAGTACTGTTGAGCCAAGTCATCATGACATACCCACAAATGTGCTCGTAAGGCAGGCATGCACACCTTGTCAGTCCAGTCCCAGACAGTGACGCCGACACATTGCTCAACCTGCATACACGCCGACACGACAGTATAGTAGTCCGTCTTCTGCTGCTCATACAGTTCAACAGTCGCCGGGAGTTCCATGCGGATGTCGAGCTCCGTAATCGCGAACTCCAGTCCTAGCGCGGCAAACGCCTGCATATTTTCGACGATCGTTGTTGGTACTTCTCCGACAATGAAATGGCTCTCGAAGCCAACGCCATCGATTGGCACGCCGTCAGCCTGCAGCTGCTTCACTAGGTTTTGCAACGCGGTAGACTTCACGCCTTGAATTTGCATCGTCAGTTGGTTCTGTTTAAAACAAGGGCTGACATCTTACCGACGTATTCTGTGTTGTAGTCGTTGATATAAAGTTTTGCGTGGGGGTCTGCAGCGCGAGCGGCTCGAAGGGCGATAGAAATGTAGCTTTCTCCCAGAGTATCGTAAAAAACGTCCTCGCGGAAGGTGCCGTTGTCATTGAGAGGCTCTACGAAAATCATGAAATACCGATAAGAAAAGATAATCATGTTTCGGGTTGTGGTAATACCATTGATAACATCCCAAGCATCTGCCTCGCCATTTGTAATCAGCACAGTTATGATCATGACACGACAGCAGGGTCTACTCACATCTAGAGTACACGTTAGCCACTCAAGCTTAATCTCTGGTAGTCGAAATGCTCACGCCTGACCAGCATAGTGCCCTACTACTGTTCCAGTGTGATTTGCGACGATCTCCGCAAGCTCCGGTGCGGTATAGTTGTTGGCCGTCACCCAGTCTGGGAGCTCCTCATACCATACACAATTGTGGCCTGTGTATTCCATTGACTTCATACAGGCAGGTCTCTTTTAGATGACAACTCACCTCTCAGGTACATGCCGTATGAACGCGCGAGATTTGCGATGACATCACCTGCCTCGAAAGTGAACACTCCAGGCTCGGGCTCCGTTGCGTACTGCAAAATGGAAGTCGGCGTCACGTTGACAAACTATTGCCATGAGATGTGGACTCAACGTACCCATTTCATGCTGTTTGCCGGTGTGAGCTGCCCGAAGTGCAGATAATTATCCATGATAGACGTGTACGTCGTGTCATTAAGCTCAGGGTTGTCAGTGGCCGTCCCAAAATAGAGCTTCCCGGAATTTCTGGCTAGGTAGTTCAGCCCGGGGACGACAGCTGTCGCAGTAGGCAACGCGGTGCTTGTTGACGACGCATATTGCGGAAACGCAAATACAGCACTGAGAGGAAGAAAGCCCACAAGGGTGAGCAGAGTTGAAATACGCACCATCTGATCGAAGAGGATACCCTAGCAAGAGTTTATCCTCCTCACCAGGCTATATACCATCTCCACAAGGAACATCATGAGCCAGAAAGTCCTGAGAAGCTGGTCTAAAAATAGCCAACGAGCGGCAGAGCCACGTTTGCGGCGCGGGCTGTTGCGCAGTAAGGTCAACGTGACTATTGCCAATTGCATTTGCACGACAGAAGCTGTTCACGGCCCGCTCGAGTTTCGGGGGTAGTTGTCAGAGGCAGAAGAACGTAGGTCGTCAGTGGAGTCTCGAAGAAGGGACTATATGGGAAGCTTGATTGTTCCTAGCAGGCCAGGACGCATATAACCCCTCGCAATCAAGCTTGTAGGCTCTAACAAAGTTTGAGCGTTGCTCGTTGCTGACGGCATTTGCGGAGCGGGAGTTACCTCGGTAGCCAAATGCGACACCATGCGATCTTAAAGTCACGGGTGGGAACTGCACCATAGCAAAGGCAGATGACCGCCCTTGTGAGTAGAAGCTCGCTAAATGAAAGCAGAAATGTCGGTACCATGAGCAGTCTGCAATCAAATATTCATGACACGTGGCAAGGGATCTAGCGGCCGTCAAATAATGTGCAAGGATATTCAGCCATAGACAATTATGTTCAGCATATACCAGTTCAAATACCGTCATAAATGAAAGTAGCCAGAGATCCAAGTGCAGACAAATCTTGTCATTGGTCGTCCTAATGAGAGAAACCACCACCCGTCTACGAGCGCTTGTAGTCGTTTGACCTCCCACGCCACCTTGAATAGTAGTATTTCGCAGAACGAGGCCATGGCCGTGGTTTCTTGAAGTCTGAGATGAGCGGGTGCTATAAGGCTCCTGTATCAAGAATTGAGCACCTTCCTAAATGCGCGCTTACAAGCACCTGTTACGATATTGCTTTCCCCCTCTCAGGATCCCCAGGAAGATCGGCATGCAGATGGGATCACAATCAGACTCCGACAACAGCATGTTACCGATTTCTTCCATTCATTGCTCCATACAGTTGTACAGAAGGCATAGAGACTCAGAGCCAACAGCCTCCACGGCTCTGGCACATCAGATAGATTGACCCTGCAAGGCGATAGCAATCCCATCAAATGCTGGTTTCCTTTCATAGTTCTGATGCGCCAACATATCATTCTCAGTGAGACAATGCAGATGGAAAACCATCATGACACGCACCGAATCCCAAGGGCAAGCATCTCCGTAGCCAGGGAAAGTGGACGGGACCCACGAATACTGAGGCGCCGAGTTGTGTCATCCACTCACATCTCAAGACTTGGAAAGACATACCTTGTCAGTCCAGTCCCAGACAGTGATACCGACACATTGTTCAACCTGCATACACGCCGACACGACGGTATAGTAGTCCGTCTTCTGCTGCTCGTACAGATCAGCAGTTGCCGGGAGTTCCATACGAATGTCGAGCTCTGTGATTGCGAACTCCAGTCCGAGCGCGGCAAATGCCTGCATGTTCTCCACGATCGTCGTGGGCACTTCGCCAACGATGAAATGGCTCTCCAGACCGACGCCATCAATTGGTACGTCGTCCGCCTGTAACTGCTTGATGAGGTTCTGCATTGCCGTCGATTTCGTGCCTCAAGGCCAATGTAAGTTATTCAGTATAGCTAGAAGCGCCGCTCGCGCTCACCGACGTATTCAATGTTGTAATCGTTGATGTAAAGCTTCACGTTCGGGTCAGCTGCGCGTGCGGCCTTCAGCGCGATTGAAATATAGCTATCTCCAAGCGTGTCGTAGAAGACGTCCTCGCGCATTGTGCCATTGTCATTGAGTGGCTCTGATACATATGGCGCCAATGAATATATGAGACGTCAAGAGGCGCGTGCCTCAAGCTTACCATTGATGACATCCCATGCATCTGGATTCAGATCATGGTCAGCACGCAACAGCTGCTGCCAGCCAACAGTGTCACCTACAACTGATGAAATATCAGCCATAAGCCAAGTTCCCTTCAGCGATGTCTACAGTGCACACACATTTGACCTGCGTAGTACCCTACCAGCGTACCGGTGTGGTTGGCGACGATGGCGGCAAGCTCAGTCGCATTGTAGTTGTTAGCCGTTACCCAGTCCGGAAGCTCTTCATACCATACGCAGTTGTGTCCTGGTAATGTTACAGCCTTGGTCAAAGACCTGAGCATAAGGTCGCTGGAGGATGCGACCGACCTCTCAGCACCATGCCGTTGGACTTCGCGAGATCCGCGATGACATTGCCGGCTGTGAAAGTGAAGACTCCCGGCTCAGGCTCTGTGGCATACTGCAAGACGTTGTGAGTGTTGGACCACGTCAGCTCAGTACCTTCTAAAGAGGACGTAGTCATACGCACCCATTTCATACTGTTTCCCGGAGTGATCTGGCCGAACATGGCATAATTCTCCAAGATGGAGGTGTACGTCGTATCATTGAGCTCCGGATTGTCCGTAGCAGAGCCGAAGTAGCGTTTCCCCGCACTGATGGCTAGGTCATTCAAGCCGGGTACGACGGCCGTTGAAGTAGGCAGCGCAGTGCTTGCGGAAGAAGCGGCCTGCGGTAGACCATTCGCTAGGACAGGGAGACACGCCGCGAAGGCAAGTAGAGCTGGAGTGAGCGTCATCGTGCTGGCGATGGTGCTCTTAGCCAGGATGCATCGTCATCGCATAGCTTATGTACCCCGGACAAGGGTCGCAACGATCGGGGCGAAAGCGCCAAGACTCTGGACAAGGGTCCGGTACAAAATCAGGGCAGATGAGTAGTTGGGATCATGTGTGCAACGAGGGAACCTACACGCCACGAAGCCGTCGTGACTAAATGCGACCGGCGTCTCGCGTTGCACAGGTTGCAGACAGTTCCCTCGGATGCAATCGCTGTGCATAGATCTTCACCCAGGAGGATTTATGTCAGAGCCACTTGCATGCGGGATTTCAGAGGGCCACCCGACGCAAACTACTAGACACGGCTACGATTAGACGCATCGAGTTCTGTAGACAAAGTCTGACTATTAGTCTACTGGGATATCAAACACTAATGTTTAGAAGGAGGGATTACCTCGGCAATATATTGCGAGGCCATACGATCGAAGAGTCACAGGTACTGAATCCGGCCCGCAGCGCAGTACGGACGCAATCCGTCATGTGAGGGCGAGACCGCAGAAATACAGTGGGATCGGGGATCATGCATCCATGTCACGGGCATTCCGGCGCAATGTGGCGGTCGGTCGTCAACGAAGTACAGCGTGTGACCTAAAGACAGCCCAGTTCTCAGCACATTTGTTATCATTGACTCGATTTAGGCTACAACATAGGACCTGCGCGGTAATCAGCTCGCACGAATACCTTCTAAACGGAGTTACTCACATATTTAGTTACTCGAGCTCATCGTCATCGAAGATCGCCGTCTTCGGAACCCCATCCTCACGCACAACTCCTCTATACATGCCCGAGCAATTAAGGGGCATGGCGACTATTGGCTCGGAAGAGCTTCTGGTCAGCCGTCAGGGCGAAATAACAGTCTGCGAGGGAACGTACCGTTGCCTTGGTTGTCGAGCGCAATGACTCCGCCCACCCCTCCATCACGACGAAGCTCTTCTACACAATGCCTAGCCGCCTTTGCAAGGGGCTCATGCAGGTACTTCATCCGCCGCCCAATCGTGGACGCCGTTGCTAACCGGATGAAATACTGGCGCAGGAATCAGCATGAGAGGGTGTTGCTCAGACCGGGAAACGTACATCGCCGTCGCCGGTCCCGCTAACTCCCAGTGCGACCTTGGTACTTTTCCCCTTGGCCTTTCTCCATGTACGCCGTACCCAGCCCTTCACCGCCCACTCCTCCGCCCAGAATCCTGCGCCCATGTGTGGTGTGTCCCCAATCCGGCCCACTAATTTGTTCGTGCGTCCACCCGTCGACGTACACGCTGCAATGCAGCCGCGCTCGTCCAGCGCGACCGCGCCCACAGTTCCCGTGGGCAAATTGTCCAGTAGGTCCTCCGGTACTGCTTCCTCGCCACCCATGTGCGGGGGCAATGGCTCCTCCGGCAGCCCGAGGCCGCGTCGGTGCTCGCGCCAGCGCGCCTCCGTCCAGAAGTAACTCTCGTCGACCAGCTCAACACCAAGCGGTTGGCCAAGAGCCTCCGCAGCGGCGCCGGAGAACATGGTGTGGTACGCAGTCGAGGGCGACAGGTACAGGGCACGGGCGAGCTGGCATGGATTGCGGGCACGAGTCATGAGGGCCACACCTGCGCCACGTCTAGTTACTGGAATGGACGGATGCGTCGAAGGGGGGCTAGATAGCATTACAGAGGCTTCCAGCTCGTTCTGCGAAAGACTGTTGAGCTGTGCTCGGTTTGCACGGCACGAAAGAGCACACCTTCCCAGCAACATTGAACACCGCGCCCTTGCCAGAGTTGAAAAGCGGACAGTCTAGTGAACGAGAGTATCGTCACTACACCGGTTAGTAACACTATAGGGACACGTACCTTCCATGTATGATACCGCTGCGACGACCGCGTCCACAGCTTCGCCACCATGACTGAGCACATCATACCCAGCAAGCAATGCACCGCTGAGGGCTGCCTTGTACTTCGCTCGCAGCTCCGGCGTCGACTTGCTCTTGTCCATCGTGCCTGCGCCGCCATGGATGACCAGCGTGTACTGACCCGCTGTCTTTGCTGGTAGGAGGGCCTGCTTCTCACTCGACATCCTGGCTACGTGGGCGCGAAGAACAGTATGGGATCATCGAGTGTTCGCAGCCTTGGGGACATATTTAAACGCCTGAGAAAGCGGCCGTCCGTGTGGTGATCTGCAGTCAAGATAAGGCGCGAGGTCAGGGACGTGCTGAGCTCGCATAAGACTGTAGACAACTATCAAGTGCGCGTGGTAATATGCAAAGACTCTAGAACTGGAGTATGGAGTGGATGTTTGGCAAATGCATGACATGAACGGGCACTGAGCGCGCTGAACGTCCGAGAGCCCGGGCCAACAATCTAGCGTATGGAAAAGGATACACACATACCAACAAGGGAAGGTGCGTGAGCTCCCTGAGATAGGAATCATGGTTTAGCCGTAAGCCCTTCGCTTGAAAAAAAAACTCATATTCCGAGCAATGAAACCATGTCAAGGCAATAGAAGCAGCTTGCCAATCGCCAGTAGGACCATCGGAGCCAAAGACACGCAAAGTAGTGGAAACGATACTTCCGAATAGTCATACGACGCTTAGCGTTGTTCTTCGTTGAATGACACTGGCATGCACCTCATTTTCTTATAATCATGACAATTCTGATCGCTTTCCAATGCGAAGATCCCTTCAGTGTGCCAAGTACTAGCCCACGTCCTCCCCATTTATTGCATCTGACAGCACGAATTCGTACAGCCCAACGGTCATGCCTTTAAATGCGTCCTCTGTCTCCTCCAAACTGGACCCGTTAGTGTCATGACCATGTTCCGCGCTCGAAGTTGGCCGCTTGAGTGGCAAAACGCGCACGAAATCGAGGCTGTCCTAGTCGTCGTATTTCATCGCGGCTGCTTTATAAATTCTTGACTGACACTCCACATAAGATGCGTTAGTGAACAACTACAATCCGCCACATTTGAAGTACTTGCCAACTATGAAAGCGTAAGATGTCTTGAGTCAGTGGCATAGTTGCGCATCGATTGCCTTCGGTTGCATACGGCTACGAAGCACCTCGCAGAGTTTCTGAGGTACTAGTCAGTCACACCACGTTTTCGACGTTAGTGACTTGCGTCGACGACGCGCCCATAAGCGCCCACACCGTTGGACTCTGTCACCTTCTGTCATCGTGATCGCATTACACCCGTTACTTACTGAGGACGTCGAACGTACACCAGCAACAACTCTGGTTTCAGATGTTAGAAACAACAGCGGAAGATGCTCACACTCTTTCAAAGACGCTCTGGGATCTGCTACACGGCATTAAGCAAGCCCCGCAGCACTGCAATTTGACACAAGATATCAGACCGCCCGTTGTTCCGAGTCGGATCCCCAGTGGGAGCGCCCCTCAGCTCTCAACCCTCGTCGTTTGCCGCTGACTGAACCTCTTCGCTCACTGCAAATATGTTCAGACTCGCTATGCTCCGTTGCTTCTGGCTTCTTGCGAAGATTGCGGCCGTACTCATCGGTCCGAGCCTATTACCTAGTCGGATACTGTAGAACGAGCATATGTGAACATTGGACCGGTAAGCTACGGTAACCATCACACGGCATGATGCTAGCCCATCAGTTACAGCAAGAGGCGACCCCACAGCGGTGTCTCCGGACATCATCCAAGGCCGGGGGTTTCATTCTCGGGCGCCCGTGGTCTTCTGAGGTCGCATATAAATACAGGGTAATATCAGCGTGTCAATGCATCGAGTCCACTACTCACGATACAGAAGCTGCAATGCGTACCATCCAGTCCATCCTCCTTTTCCTCGCATTCTTTGCTACGACTATACTTGCGGACTACTATGCCCGCGACGACTCCGACATAGGTCTGGCTGCCAGGGATGTGTGGGATAATGACGGGCTGTTTGCCCGCGAGGACGATCTGTACGCTCGCGACTGGGAGGAGCACAAGAGCCATCCCCTTGTCCGCGAGTTAGTGAATCTAGTACGTGGCTTTCACAGTTCTTCTGCTTGCGCATTTCACAAACGCACGTTCCAGCTGGCTGCGCGTGGAAGAACTTGCTACAACAACAACGAGAAGCTTACAGCAGCAGTCAAAAAGTGCGTCATGTCCGCTGCTAGAGATGGCCCATTGATTGACTTTCACGATATTTCGCAGATGTGAACCCGCCGACTCCGTGGGGATACTCGCTGCACACCAATGCGCTAATCGTGGCGGGAAGTACTATTATTGCCACGACTCGACCGGAGAGGGATGCATGAAGGTCAAGACGGCGATAGGTCTAGAACACGGGGAATGCTTCGTGTGAGAGGCGGGATATTGGCCACACTGAGACGCACAGTACCTCCTGGTGTCGCAGCGTGTGACTATAGGCAACACTTCCTCCACATGTAGTGTTCATCCATTTCGTCGGCCGTACACCTCACTTGAGTCGTCATCATTGTGGCGCGAGAGATCGACCCGCCGCCAATGGACTGATTCAGAAACTGGATTGTGAAAACGGGGATCTTGATATTCATAAGCAGGCATGCCAGTGCGGCAGATACAGGCACACATTATCGCGCTTCCCTGCTACGCTGGCGCCCCCAGCCATCGTGGGTGGCCCCTTGGCTCGTTCGCAGACCCGGCCTTGCAGGCATCCAGCTTGAAATCAGTATATTAAATAGTCATTGGTGCCCACATTTCCGATTGTCGAGTATTGTAATAGTATCATATCATACATTCAGCAACTTGTTCTACGCTCTGCAATAGAAAAACATGGATAGGAAGCCATAGCTCTACATCATGTGGAGAAGAGGCGGCCGAACTAAAAGCTAGTCAATAATCGACAAGTGGTCGAGATCCTGAGACAGTGAGGTCGTTACATCGCCGATTGTCAGAACATCAACACTACAGGGTTGATTCTCTTCCTTCTAAAAGTAGAAAGAAGATGAGCGCGCTGAATTGCAGAGATATCATCACTTACACTGATAGCCAGAATGTCCTCATCAAGTATGTACCACGTATATTTCTTTCCCAACGGCGTGCCTTTGATTTTGGTCTGGCGATAGGCAGCTGTCGTGCATGCTGCGCTTTTGAACCAATTGTCTTGCTTGTCAATGTCTGTGCCGGTGCGTATGTCATTATGTCCATGCAGTCGGCGATCTTCCCTTTCATCCGCATCCAGTGGAGTGAAATCTAGCATCACCGAAGGCAAGAGCACTCGAAATCCGTAGCACGCATTCTTCCATTTGTGGTATCTTTCTTCTCCGTCTTTATTTGCTTCTTCGTGGAACAAGTCCTCGACAGAACTGCCATGCTTGAACCAGAAAGACGAGCTCGGGCCCCACTGCTTCCAGGGAATAGTGTCGACTTCGCGAGTAGCCTGTTTGCCAGAGACGAAGTTCGAGACAGCATGCAGGAATGGCTTTGTGTAGACAAAGACCATGTATTCGGTGAGCATGACTGGATTGTGAGGGGAGTTATGGTAGAGAACGAGCCGTAATTGTAGCATAGATGGTGTCGGAGATGTTGATAGCAGGATAGGTGGTGCGTCCTCAAAGGAATGTATCGCGGTGTCATTTGTACGGAATGTGTCACATTGGCTTATCTTGCATTTGACGTGAGAGCGGAGCATTGGCAGCTCAAAGTTTGCAACCAGATGGTTCACATTTCCGGACTTCGCAAATACATCAAAAGATGCAGATCCACCACCCGCAGGTTGCTTGTAGTATGTATCGCGCGGTTTGAGGAGGCAGACGTTATTCAGCATGCAGTCGCGATTATAGCCAACTTTATACACCTGAAACAAGTGAGACACTCATTGGTAAATATTGAGAGCAGTCGTGCTCACAGGGCTCTTCATATCTTTCCAGTTGCAAACAATAGTGTCACCCCAACTTGTGTATCTATCAATCAGGGTAATGTGGTCACCCGAGATCTTGACTCCATACTCGTCATAGTGCGCTCGCCCGGCAAATCCTTGAGTGGCTATTGTAGCCAATGAATGAGTCTTACCATTAGATAGAGATAAGAAGGCGAATCTGTGGGGTCAGAAGTTGGCAGTCAGGTTCCAACAGTTCAATGATAATCACGCACGTCGATCCATATTTCTCCCGAATTTTGTCTCGTTCTTCACAGACCCTCGACCCTGACTGCCAATGGAGCGGTTTGAGACTGTGCCACACCACCAGGAGGTCTTGCGCGGGATCTAATTCGAGTCCAGTGCAGATCCAAGGCAGCTTATAACGACGGTGCTGGTTCGCCACATTCTTCGAGCGCGTGTTGTAAATATCGACTTCGCTAAAGAAAACGCCACCATATAACATGGCAGGTGCATCGAATGTTTGTGTCGGTTCGCCTACGTAGCCAATGGCTAAAACACCACCTCGGAATGCGAACATCTTGGGGTCCCGGTCTGGCCTAAAAACAAGCGACATGGTCCTTGTCAATGTCATGCTTCTCCATGCGCGTTGTCGGTGCCGTAGCGCATCTACTATCTTTAGATTGAAGAGCATTCCACTGTCGAGCATTCCGCGTTTGTAATGCGCTACATAGCCTGCCCTAGCCAACTCGACGAAGATGATTTCTTCGAACAGCTGGCAGACCTAAATCACAACATTGCTGTCATTAACCACAATCATATAACAATTCAAGTACCCACAAGTTTGCGGCTCGTGACATCCGAAGCACTCAGGTCAGGAAGCGGCTCAATGGCTGGCTTATTCCTAGGCGAGAATTCCAGGAAGGGTGACTCGGGTAGCAGTGACATGGTGGATGTAAGACGAGAGGAAGGCTGAGCGCCACAACGAGTGAACTGTCGCAGATTTTCAGTCGCGCTGTGGCCGTGCTCACATGACCAGGCTCGTTGCATCAGTCAAATGGCGGCATCGTGCTACAGCAGCATTGTTTGAAAACTTGGATATCATTAGGTGATGGAGCATCAGCTATGAAATATTCACATAGGATACTGATGATGTCTTGGTGCCAGCAGCAGCACCCTGAATCATAATGCCTATGTCGTTCAAATCTGCTCGAGATTGTCAGTCACAGTTTCCGATGCATCGACGGGTCTCAGGAGCTCTATGCGCCGGAGGGAGGGAATCGACCGAGCTGAAGCAGATAGTCATCGTCAAGATCATTCTCAAGAGACACTCCCCACCTCGTGAGCAGACGCAACCATGCCTAGTCAGCTGTAGCACGCAGGAACGACCTTGTGTATATCCGCAGTGCGTTGTATACGAGAGCGAGTTTTTCTCCAATTTATTCGAACGAATGAGGAAGCAGCCGCCCATCAACGTATATGTTGGCAACTAAGAGATGCCAGCTGCCAGACCCCATGTAAAGAATCTGCACCATTGATGCCACGCACAGGATGCCTCATCGACTTCCAGTTAAAGGAGTGTCATTCTATCGTGGAAATCGTCGACTATGGCAATCAGGTCGCTACAGGTTTTGGCGGCATCTCTATTAGAGAGCATGGTACGAACTGGGAGCCGGGAGATGAGAAAGGTCACAAACTTCTGGAGTGGGAATTTTCGTATGGGAGTGCAGCATAGCAGCAGGTAGAACAAGGTGGATATGGATCATACACGCAGCCCATCAGTGTCTCTTGCCCACTTGAAGTGCTTTCGGGAGTGCCAGGCTACGAGCATCGTCAACTTGGGCTGGAGCCAATTCGGGCGCATCAAGTGGACGTCCACGATAGAGTCGATATGTGGGATCAGGTCAGGTGCCGATGTAAATACCGAGGCAGAATGCCCGACGTGTTAGACTGCTGGTCCTCGAAGTCGAGTATTTTTGCATCGATGAAGGGCAGAATCGTTAGACGCCCGAATGCAATCCAAAGCGCCAGCACGCTTGCTCAATCGAGCGACATTTCGTCTTCGCTTCGCGGTCAGAGACGTTGCATGGCCCCGAGTCTTTGGCCGTTCCTCAACGGACCCGGATGTGTCACACATGGACTCAATGCAGCTAAGGGCTTCGGAACATATACACATCACGGTTTCCAGATCACGCCGTTCATTTCTGTCTCTTGTAGATCTTGCTGAGGAAGCTTATGAGCATTGCTCATCGTAGCACAATCTTGTCCTGCTTCCCCGCCGTTGAGGGGCTCGATTAGGCCCATGATTCGCTTATGCGCCGCTTCCTCGTACTCTTCGTACATCTTCCGGACGCCGATTTCGCACCGAGACCTGTGCGGGCGTCACGGTAGCGTGCGTGACTGCACACGCGATCCTGCAAATCTCATTGGCATTTCATCGGCCTACAGCTTCATTCCACGACGACAGCAAAGTGAACTGGGGCGGAAGTGATCATGCCCATGAAGCACTGGGATTGCATACAGCGAAGGGCAGTCGCACTGTCCGAACTTTAGTTTTAGTGCCAGTCGTTGTTTCTTAGGCCGGCCTAAGCTTGTCAATACGTCCGTGGTCAGGCTGGTCATGTTCCAGACACGGTCGACCTTGGTCAGTCCAAACGTGGCGTGTGTTTAGGCGAAAGATCGGAGGCTCGCAGCAAGGCACACCGCGCTCCTGATTATCTAAAACTACATGCCAACATGACGAAACTATGGTAGGCAAGAAAACTCGTATGAGTCCGTGAATGAGATAAACAAACTTCTGAATACAGTCCGACTATCAATTCAATAACATCCGGTACCTCAAGCACGATATCGGTAATTTGACAGGCTCACAGACCACAGAGACAGATACTAGAGGCTCATCGACTCGTCAGATCAATCACGACACTCGCATCGCGTAGAAAGTCAGTGGAACTGAGCGCGCTGTCTTGCGAAGAAGACGGCCCGGCGAGGTGGCTGTAGCGACTGTGTGGCGCATGCAGAGCAGCCTTCCGTGCAGGTGCTACATTGTCGGAATCGCTCTCGATCTCGATGATATCGGCCTCAGGGATGCTCGCAGCCCGTCGCCGGCGTATTGGAGCAGGATCCCGCAGCGGCGAAAGGGAGGGGAAGGGTGCAGGGGGGTCGTCCCGCCGTGGCGTGGACGCACGATCAGAAAGGGAGCTTGCCATCAACGACGCTGAGCTTGTACCGACGGCGACTGGCGGCGCAGGGTTGTCTGCAGGCTCGGCTGCAAGCTGGGCTGTCTTCCTGCGCTTGACTGAAGGACGGCCTGCCGCAGGACCAGACGCCCCCGGCCTCTTCGGCTTCGTTGGCGCCTTCTTGCCTTTGCTCGGGCCAGGTCTTACACCCAACAAGCGATCGATGAGTTCGTCATGTCTTCCAGTAAGACCGTACTCCATTTCGTCATCCTCAGCGGGGAATCTGTCCCCAGGTGCCATGGCTGATGGAGCAGCGGCAGATTTGCGCGCTACTGGACGTCTGGAAACCTCCTTGCCAACGGTGTTACGAGAAATGGAATGCGTTGCCCGGCTACTGTCCTCTGGAATGTCGTGCAACGGCCGCTCAGACCTAGTGCAGGACGTCAGAGGGACATCCGAATCACCAGCGGCGAGAACATCTAGATCATCTGGGTCTGCGAAAGTGAACAAGAAGCCCATGCCTCCAGCAGGCCAGAGATGTCCACTGGATGCTTGAGCTGCTTGGCGGCTTGAGCCAGGGACGCTGGCCCGTGATTGCGTATGACTCCTCGGTGGCGGCGAGTGTATCTCCCTAGCAGCCGGCCGGCCGGTAGGCCTAGCAGCGGAACGTGAGGGGGTTGAACTCGCAACATCGGCATCGACATCGCTACTTGCAGCCTCTTCTCCTTCATCGTTAGCCTTTCTCCTGCGACGCTGCGCCCCGTTCTTTTTCGCGAGCTTCGCCCGTTCTGCCTCTTCGTAGTCTTCCACGAGTTCGGGGTGTACCTGACGCATCATACACGCCGGGATCCACAAACGCATCATGCTCTGCGGATCCACAGGTGCCTTGATCTTCTTCCTCTTCCTTCTATTGGTTCCCTGGGAGCTGGTTGCGTCTTCGTCGTCGTCCTCGTTGCTATCATCATCGGACACATTGGCCAACCCCGCGGGCTCGCGATGTTTGCCCTTTATCCCGGATTCCGCGAGCGCAACAAGCTGGCGGGGGTCAACCTCCACGCGATACTCGAGCAGGTTATCTGTCGAGACGTGATGGCGCGCACTGAGGATCTTCCGGATCATAGGGTACATATCGGGTTCTGCCCCAGCGAGGGGTGCTGGGTTGTTGTTTCGCTGAACGAAGATGGCGGCGCGGTGGTCGACTTCGGCTGGGCTCAGGTACTTCTTCACCAGCGACGCCGGTGTCCCCACGCCCTCTGTCGTGGGTAATTGTAGCACACCCCGAATCGCGGTGTCAGTCCGCTCCGCTCGAATGCGCTTTGTCTTCTCCAGTTCGTCAGCCTCTAATGCTGCACGCCGCAACACGCGTATGACTGAAGCTTCCCATATCACATTGCGGAAGCGCTTCAAGATTCCCGAGCGGTGGCCCCACTCGCCGAAATGGTCTTCACAAAACGCGGCTAGGCGCGGTATGCTCAGATCGCCATTATCTCGCAACGCCCCGCCGCCTTGATGGCCGACGCTTGCGCTGCAGACGGGATTTATGTAGTTCCTCAACACGTCCATGTCAGGGAAATCCTCAGGGATGGAGAGAGAAGGATATGGGCAGCGGAGAAGCTTGTGGGCGTTCGTGTGCAGTTCTACGTTGATCTCGGCGCGCCACTGTGAGAGGAAGTGGGTCATGTTTCGTCCACTCTGCCTTTCATAGGCTTCTAACAGCCGGTCACCGAAGCCAAGTCGAGCCAGCCCATGGGCGATTTGGGGGCCGAAGTGGTTGAGACCCTAGATGTGTAACCCCCGAAATTAAGCCACAATCTGCCCTCGAGTAATCTCTACCACACACCTTGTCATAGTCCCCTCCAGAAAGAAGTGCGAACAAAACCAGCCCTCCTCTAGTCATCTGTACCTCTGGGTGGTTCCTGAGAGCTTCCGCGCTGAACACCATGACATGATATTTACTTGTTTTGCCTTCGTAGTTTTGAGCAGGATTGGCCTTGTTGCCAGTCAGTGATAAGCTGGGGCTGAAGAAAAGGATAACCCATAAGCGTGGGAGGGAAGAGAGCAGAATCCTAGTACTTTTTGATGACAGTTCGTGCGCCGAACACCAGAGTGTCGACATCATCTGTGAGGATCGCATCTATGACGCCCGCTCTGTTCAAGCAAGCAAGCTCTGCCTCCGCCTCACCCCTTGCCTAGACGTGTCTCAGGACCTGTATAGTAATGCGTTATAGGAGATGCATAAACATACCATGCGCCACTCTATTCCGTAGCAGTCGAGGAGCTGTTTCACTCTAGCAGTCAGGTTATGAGACCCTGCCTTGCCCAACTTGCTTCCTCTCTTGACTTTTGGTCTTTCTCTACCGTCGAACACGAACAGAGGAATGAGGGGAAACTCGAGGAGTTTACAGAGACGAAAAAAGAAGAGCCGTAGCTCGGGGTTCTCTCCCCCTTTACTGAATGTCGCATGATGATACCAAATGCTGGCATCAATGCCGACGCGGTAGGCGCGCCGCCCCGACTCGTTCTCCTCGAAGCCGTCGACAACAGTGAGATTTTTGAACGCGCGTGATTGCCCCGCCTTGTTAAGTATCTATAACCAGCTATTAGGATATGTACACCTGAAGGTACAAGAGGAAGACACACGTCCCAGAGACCTTGGACGCCCATCTCAGAAGCGATGTGAAGGGGCGGCCAAGCGCGTGACAAGACGCGGGGATTAGGCTTTTGATCTCGAAGGCGCGTTCTCGGTCACACTGTGACGCGACGCGTCGCCACCAACTCGGAGCACCAACAACATTGTCAAGGCGCGCAATAGCGTTGCAACGATCTACTACGTACAAATACAGTAGCAAGTCCATGTACAAATAAATTACTATCCATGAATGTGGTTAGTCTAAGCGGCCTCACCATCAGCCTCGTCGTCGACCGCTGCCTTCGATCCTCTTTCGAACAAGAACGAGACAGTGCCTCCCGGGACTTCGTCAACACTGAAGGAGGGACTACTCGCCGCGAGCACATTCTCGAGGTCGACTGCCTCGAGCAGATTGTTGAGCCGCGATTGATGAGGGTCTGCAGCTCCGGACTTCTTCGCGTCCGGATTATAGAGCATTTCCGCTAGAACCTCGTCATGGACTTTCCCCGCTGCCCCACGCTTGAGACAGTTGATGTGCGTCCAAGCACCAAGCGCTGCAAGCTGTGCCTTCTTCTGTTTCATGTACTGGATGTCAAGCACTGGTGTCAGCTGACATTTGCTTGGAAAGAAAACGTTACGGACCGCCCGGTCCATCTTGTTAATTTGTTCTGGGTTGATTTGGGACGCGCTGACAAACTTCACGGGTGCATCTTCCTCGCTCTCTTCTTCTGTGTCACCGGCCTCTTCATGGCTTGCTCTGGACTCACTGTCCTCTGTTCGCGCATGTTGGCCATCTGCCATTTCGCATGGGCACTCGAGGAGGTCGTGTGTATGGCAGGCCGTATCAGGATGAATGGTGAAAATGTCGCGCAACTACATCCAATATATCAGAGTGATACCGAGCCAGAAGAAAATTCCCCCGACTTACATCTTTTCGAGTGAACGAGTCAAGCTTCGACTCTGAGCTCCCCTGTAATCAAACATCATTATTAGACTATGCAGAAACATAAGGTGTTCCCGGCACATACGCTGCCCATCAATGCTATGATCCAAGTCGGTCAATCTTATTGTATAAAAATCATACTAGGCCTCTTACAGTCGCTCAGTCCCAACTTGGTCACCTGCCGTTGATAGATTTTCTCTGAGGGGAAATCAAAATCTGCGGACAGGCTCACCGTAACACTTAACATACCATCAATAGCACCAGTCGTTAGGAATCTGTAGATGAAGACTGGACGCTTCTGTCCATCCCTGAAATCCATGTCAGTGCGCACACCTGGGAAGCCCTCCGAAATGAGGCTGACCTGTGAATGCGAGCCATTGACTGCAGGTCATGACTACATCGGATCAACGTTATCGCGCAGCCGTGCGGTCGAGAAGATCGGCGTCGCCTACCTGGGGTTCCAGTCTGAGTCAATCAAGCAGAGTCTGGAAGCTCCGATGAGATTCAGGCCAACGCCACCGGCTTTCGAGCTCAGCAAAAAGAGGACTGTTCAGCGGGTCAGATGTGTGAGCTGAGAATAGATCAATAAATAACCAACACCGCTTTGCCTGAGGTGTCCTGTTGAACTCGTTGACGTATTCCTGCCTCTTCTGCGCGGGTGTCTGCCTATGCACAGACCACCATCAATCGCTGTCATTTCCCCAAGAGACGTTGTGTCTTACCCATCGAGGCGATGGTACGTATACGATTGCTTCTTGCAGAATGCCTCGACGATGTTCAGGGTCGAAGTATAATGCGACACAATGATGCATTTCTCGTCGGTTTCCTGTAGAGCAAACCTCAGCATGATTGTAACCACCGACGTTAGAACATACTTTTCGCAACGTGCGAAGCAGATGGGCCAGAGCAGTCAACTTGCCTAAACAAATGTGATGTCATCAGTACAGCGTGCGAAGAGTCCCGAAGCCACTGACCGCTGAGAGACACATCCTCTACGCGCGCGTGTTCTGGCAGTAGCTTGATAGCCTCTTGGACTACATTCCGTTTGATCATGTCTCCGCTCTGGTCGCCCTTATTTTTCGCCCGATCAAGCGTCGCTTTTAGCAAGATTGGGCTGTTGCTGATCTTCGTCAACAAATTGATCAGTGCAAGCGACTCTGCTGTTGAGTTGCGGACGAGGTTGTCCAGCTTGTCAGCCGTAAGTATCTTGTTGAATATGGACAACTGTAGCTTCGTTGGGGTGACAAACACGACATATTCATCTATCGGCAGGAGAATAGAGTCAGAGAGAGATCCGACGACCACCGGAGGAGAGATAAACGAACGCTTCGGGGGCAGATACTTTTTTAAGATCGTAGCCTCTCTTCTCAGCACGAAGCTCCGGGCTATGGCCGATAACTGAACACATGTCGCAGGGTCTCAGTGCAGATACGTAGACGCTCAGCTCGCGACCCTTACTTGTGCAGATCGCGCCTCCCCGAGTTCCGTTTCTTTGGCAGAACACCCGGGCGCTCGGCTCTTCAGGATGGGCGTCTCATAGACACGGCGGAAGGTGTTGTAATCATCTTAGGCAACTATGTTCAGCATCGGGAAATCCAGGAGCCATGTGCTCGGCATACCTAACAGACCTGGGTTGCAGAAATCAGCCTGAATAGGGAAATAATATGCATCAATGAGCGCTCGGAAAGTCATCACGAGAAAATACACCACCATGGCATGGAATTCGCTTAGATCGTTCTGTATAGGCGTCCCAGAAAGGATAATTCTCCGGGGAGTCCGGAGCGCCTCGAACATCGTGGAGGTTTTGTTGTTGGCTGACTTGAGCCTATGGCCTTCGTGCGATCATTTCAAAATCAAGCCTTCCGATGGACGAATGCGCGATCAACGTACCCTCATCGCAGACGATCAATCCTATAGGTGGGCTGGGTAAGATATCAGCATATGAGGACATATACCCGGGGCAGGAAAGACTCGCTTGCAATAGGCTAGGTCGGCACTTCAAAACAATCGAGGATCAATCTGAGGGTCTACGAAGCATTTGGATAAGAGATGGCTTACATGACAGTACGAAGTCGCTCGTAGCCAATCACCATGACTTGATGTATCCTCCTAGAAGAACAGATGAGTCAGAGCCGCCGATTCATCACGGACAAAATTGCTCGCATACGAGTTGATGAATTGTTTGATGGCGGCTTTGTCCTTGTCTCCTACAAAGACGCCTACCCTATCCTTTCCGAGCCTAGACATAACGTGATTATGAGAGGCGGAACTCCCGAGAGCCGTAACTGCCTAACCATTTATGAACCTCATTCTTCCAATTCTATACATACCCACATGGATAACATGTACTCAGCGCCCACCACCATACTGTGCGGAAACACTCACGTTGATCAGGGTCACAGGACAAACAATGAGGATCTTTCCGACGACAGGGCCGGCACCCGCGTATGGATTTTGCTCTATAAGGGCGCGATGAGCCTGCTTCGCGCTGGATGGAACGAAGAGCGCATACTAAGCAATGTCCAGCATAAAGTGATCGTCTGTGGCAGAATTAAGTCGTATGTATACCGGATATGAATGTGCTTACCTGCAACGTCTTCCCCATGCCCCTTCAATGTGTATCGGAGTCAGCGATGGCAGAAGAACTGATATGAGATCCATACATTTCGTCAGCAAGGATGCAGCCGTTACCCTCGTGTTTTCGTAGCCCCATCACGCATTCATACATGAACTTTACTCCTACAGGACCGCCGATGAGCGCTCTCAGCCGTCGGCAGGACAAGGCCCTCACCCTCTACTTGATGTGGTCGAAGACGCCTAGCAAGGATCGGGTCGATCACCACATCCACCATGGGCAGATTCCTATAACGACAAAATCAATGTCTAGAACCTTCATATTTTGAATTGAGATAGAGCACTTCTTGTTGAACTTCGCGGCATGCTCCTTCGTGGGCGCCTTCATGACGACAGCCCCCTCGGCGCTCGGGTCATGCCTGTGAGTTCCTGATTAGAGAACGTCGTCTCGGTATATAGACGCCACATACAGCGGGCCCTTCGGCTTCGGTTTGGGGGCCGTTTTTCCGTAGAAAGAGGCAGGAGCAATGAACTTCTGGAGATTCGCACCCGACTTCGACTCCTCTGCGCTATTCTCTTTCCGCACCTGCAACAAGAAGGATGAATGCGTCGGCGGAGACGGAGGATCAGACGACTCCAAATCAAGAGCAGGCTCGTTTGAGGAGCCACTGATTATCGGAAGCTCTGTCTCTGAGACGCGATTGTCGAGTTCTACTTCCTTACTGCCAATGAACGTGCTGTAACCGCTATACAGCGGAAGACCGTCCCACTTCTTTGTTCCGAGACTATATGCGCCATAATCAGTCAACATACATATCAGAACCAGCATATACCCACATGAGGCCCTTCTCTGATATCAGTGTCAGCTTCTCCGAGCGGAGCGCGACAAAGGCATCGCCATCCCACGTTTTGTGTTTCTTCTGTTGAGGTTTCCGCCTGTACGCGGGTTAGTTTCACGAACCATACGTCTATAGGCGGTGTACACACCAGTTGGCAATCCAGAAGGAGACCTGGGAATGATCCTGAGCTTTGACAAGGGGATCGTCACCACGAGTGATCAAATTAATCGGTTCTAGCTGGACTCCCTGCTTCGTATCTGCAGAGGGGACCCGTGTGGGAACCTTAAACCCATTCATCGTCTTCGGCTTCAACGGAGTAAATTGCTTCCCCGATGCCCCCGTGCTAAGGAGCCCCGGTGAGGACGAAGCAGCACTGTTACCGAAGCAAGAGCCAGATAGAAATTCTGATCTTTGCACCGCGCGATCTATTTCTAGCTCCTTGTTCCCGACAGTGAAGTTGACGCCTTCAGCGATACTGCGGACGCTCTCAATGCCGTGAGGCTTGCCCGTGCTAAACCTGTAGGTACATGTCTTAGCAATCGTCACGACGATATAGGAAGCATATTACGCACACTTTGCCATCCATATCGTAGAGGGTGCATATCGCGCCGTTTACCGCTAGCACGGCGTCTCCATCCCACGTCTTATGCTTCTTGTATTGAGGGTTGCGCCTGACACGGGTTCGGCTTGACACATAGTCTCTCATGAGTGTGAACACGTACCATTGTACCATCCAATACTGCTCGCTGGAGAACCGACCCCCGGTCTTCTCATTCGCTTGATCGCTCTCCACGGCCTGTCGCTTCCGGGTGGCGTCGCTGAGGTCATGACCGCCATGTTTCCGTTTCTGACCGCTACTTTGTAGAGTCTGGAATGCAGGCATGACAGATGTAGGTCGTGGTTTATGTTTAGCTGATAGACACTCGCGAGCAGCAGGTGTACCGTGCAAGTCTATACTGGGAGCACTGGTAAGCGCTGGTCGAAGACGCGCCGCGGGCCAACCACGGGTAACGCCGACGCGTTTGTCACCGCGTCAGCTACGTGCACGTGGTCGCGTCGGGGGACGCGATTCGAGGATGAGTTCAACGTTATCCAAGTGTGTGATCCAACTGCATTTATATTGCCACTGAAAGGCAGAAAATACAACGGGAAAGCTGAGGTGTTACCGATGAGTGGCTGGCATCCGCGGAAATGTACTTATAATAAGCCACAACCCCCCATGGGTGCAGCCGGCAGCCACTATACTATCGGGCGTGTTCTTTGGGCCATCCGTCAGTACATAGATATTGAGCGGAGAGACACACTGTCTCAAGCTCAAGCACTGGGGTGCGGACAGGATACAACATTGATTTAAAATAAGTAAAATACATGTATATGTATAACGCCAGGCATGCATCAGTCCGACCGTACAACTAGCTTTCATGAGGAATTGAACAGTGTATGGGTATACCGAGGCAACGATCACTTAGATAGAGCCATACGCGGGTTTTCCGTCCATCACGGTCGCAACGACGGATGTATCTAATATCCTCTCAGCAGGGACGGACATGATGTCCTGCGAGAGCACGACGTAGTCTGCGTGCTTCCCAAGTGTGATCGAGCCCAAAGAGCCTTCAGTAAAGGAGGCATACGCGGGGTCAATAGTCATGCCTGTACATGAAGTGACGTCAACCCAATTTTAGGACAGCGCGATTCCATAAATAGCGCACCTCTTAGGGCTTCCTCGCGGGTCATGCGCTGCTCAGGGAACCTAGACCAGGAATATGAGCACATCCTCACATCATTCCCGGCGAAGGTGCACGTACCAGCCGCCGGGGCCATGCGGTGACTTGCCGTCAGGCGACAACCGCGTGATGGCGGCGTAGAAACTTGCGAAGGGGTTGATGTTCTCGACCGGAAAATCCGAGCCAAGCGTGATGCGTGCGCCGTGGTCGAGGATACTTCGGAAGGCGTACAGGCCTTTGACACGCTCCGGACCCTATGGTGTACAAACTCAGCGGTCATCGTCAACACATGGACGGGGGCAGGCTCACAAGGCGCTCTTCGCCGAACCACATGTCACTTATTCTGCCGGTCATGCTACGCCTCAGCAGCTGTTTCACAGATCGGCGGAGCCTGTTAGAAGCACTCACACATGCGTTGGTTGTATACTCGCGATCACTGAATCACGAAGAGGGATGAGCGGGTAAATTTGAATGATTGTGGCGAGAACGTACCGCCGAGGTCCCCGAAACGCGCCATGTCCGCTTCGGTGAGTATTTGAGCATGCTCCAGGCGCGGCCGGAGAGCAGTCACATTTGCCTCCTTCAGCGCCTCCTCAAATGCATCGAGGACTACGCCATTCGCGCGATCGCCAATAGCATGGACGTTCTAGATTATTAATCAGCAGTTCTAGCACGCCCTGGAAACTAAACTTGGACACACGCACCACCTGCCAGCCGTCCCGCATAAATTGCGGGATGACTTTGTTCAATATCTCGGGCTCAATACGCATGAACCCGCGAGTACTGGGGTTGTCCGCGTATGGTTCGTACAGCTACCGAGGGCGTCAATGTAGATACCTCGAAGCAATAGACCGCTAACATACCGCTGCACCACCTGATCGCAAAGCGCCTATAGTGTGTGCTTAGTCGTCTAGATGCTCGCGGAAGCGGAGCCCAGCATACCGTCTGCGAAAATCTTCACGCTGCGCGCCCATAGCCTGTTATCGCCCTCGCCCATGACCTTATGGCTTGTGTTCCCCCAGTATTCAGCATTCTCGTCAAAGTAGGTCATGCCGTAAATGCGAATCTAACCCAATGTCAATGATTTATCGAGGCAATGTAATCCTTTCACCGTACTGGTAGTTTGCGGTCCTCGGCTTGCCTATCCGACCGTGAGACAAGTCTTCATCGTTTAGAAATGATGACTTACTTCTGGAAGAATTCCAATGAGCGCGGATTAAAGCCAGCATCGTGGATGGAAGTCAGGCCGAGCGCAAGCGCGTCTTTGACCGTGGCAGCAAACCGTCTGTCAAGGGTCTCGTGTGACGGTTCAGGCAATACGACCAGGTCCTGTGCATTATCCAGGAAGACACCTGTAGCACATCTGATGAAACTGTCTATTTTAATACAGTTGTGCACGTACCGGTGGGGTTCCCTGAATCGTCGCGCATTATTACGCCACCGGGGACATCTTCGGGCATCGGTTCCATAGACTTGATCACAGTCGATGAGACCCAAAGCGCGTGGCCGTCTTTGCTCTGCAACACAACCGGTCGCCCACGCACAACCGAGTCGCGATCGAGATCGTCCTACCGTCTGCTTGTTAGCATTACACCTCGGTGACGGTGAGGGGGGAGACAAACAGCCGTAGGCCATGTGGCACTCAACCATTGAGTATGATCCCAGCCCCAACCCTCAACGAATTTCGACGGGTCATCACGGATATCTGGATTGGACAAAATGTATTCCCTAATGTGTTTGACCGTCTCTGATATCCAGTCATATGAGCAGAGGGGGGCAGCTGATGTCTCTATATGACTAGCCTTGCACAGTGTGCGTGCCCTCCAGCGGAATTTGCTTCATAGCGCCGTATTCCAAGATGTGCGCATGCGAGTCTGCAGGTCGCAAGCGCGAATGACGTCAAATTAAAACGACTAATATGAGATCTCATCTGGTACTTACCGCTCAAACCAGGCACGATGATTTGACCAGGACCGATGTGCCGGACTGGCAAGCTTGATGGAAAGCCGATATGCACATGTTCGGACGCGAGAACCAGCTGGCGCCAGGCGTCCTGTACCTCCGCTGCCCAGGGTGGTTAGCACGCCCGCGGATCGACGAGAAGCACAAGGATTTACGCAAGGAGCCGGCCGCTACAAACCGAGACTGATGGACGGCAAGACATTGAACGCGCGGGTGGGCGTCATCGACTGTGTAGATATAGTCACCGTCTCGTGAACAAAGGACATAGGACTTTGGCACCGCGGGCAGCGAGCGGGGGCAAAGGCGATAGACAGAGAGCGTTAAAATAGCTAAAATGATAGAGATAATACCACGGGACACGCCGAGTCTGGTTGGCACCGCGGGAATATTAGTACTCTGGCTGGGGTCTGGCGCCGCGGTCTCGACGCTTCGTGGCGCGTCTGCGAGGATCTTCTCTTCAGAGGGCTGACGCCTGCGGAGACTGGTGGGGTCATCGGGGGAGGGTGGCATGTCTGTTGGATGTCGGACGGGGTGACTGGAAAGCCGGCGGACGCGAAGGGTTTAAGTACCCCCACCCATGGTGGCGCGCCATGAGAAAGCTGCTCGGCTCGAGTATATCCCCTGAAATTTGAAGAAAGGCGATATGAAAGTGAATTTGGGTCAGCGTGAAACGCAAGGGGGGACCATTAGCGACGCCGATTCCCTACAGACTTTCTGGGACGTGATTAATATTCAAGCGCGCGCCTGTGTAGGCGCCTCGTAGGCTCTCGTAGGCGCTCTGATCGACGATGCATCTTGTGGACGTCGCGGGCCCTTGATCCCCGTTTGTCACTATCCTGCGCCTGGTGGACCCTGCTGCAACCAGAACTTCGGAGCATCTGTGCACCCTCAACCTTCACAGGCATGCTTCGTGGCTTTCCCAGCACCCCCACCGCCACCCTCAAGATCCGTTGCTGTACTCGGGGAAGGGCGTACCACCGATTCGGACCGACCGGTGCAGCGATAGAAAAGCTCGCACCCGGGCGGAAGTATGTTTGCGGCGAGCCACAGCCTGGGGAAAGAAGCTCTAACGCAGCCACAAACAATATCACGAACAGAACGCACGGAATTCTGTCTTGCGTCGACGCCTCTGATCTGTCTAGCTGACGGGGCAGCTTGGCGCTCTGAACATAGCGAGCGCTTACTGTCGTTGTGGCATCTTCCGCAAGGTTTGATGGCGTTTGCCACGTCGCCTTCTCGTCAAGCGCCTTTGTGGTAACCTGCTCCTGCTGCAAGCCGGTCGCGGCTGGGTCGTCAAACGAGATATTTCAACAAGAACATAGGGTCTAGTCTACTGCTGGCTCGTACACGATAGTCCATCTGCAATCCAATGCCGATACACGATGTAGTACGGCAGAGGCTACAGCCTTTCACCTCGGCCGTCACCTCGAACAGGATCTTGCTCTATTCTGTCTTCGGCACGGCTGCTCTTGTAGGAACTGTCGCCAACGCATGCAGGACTTACAGCAACTTTTACTCCGTCACGATATACCTTTCGAGGAGTAGCCGAAGCGTCCTGGTACGTAGCCGGTCTTGTCTTCTTCGTAGTCGTCCAGGTATCGGTAACCTCTTCACCCAGGTCCTCGCGAACTTTGGGCTTCTAGTTGGGTTGCTCTGCGGACGTGTCATGCAGCGTCTCTTCTTTGGACCCTTGCAGCCTAGAGAGGTCGAGGTACGTACGGCGTCCTGAGCTTTGCCTCGTGATCTAAGCTCCTGCTAGCGGCTTTATGATCAAACGTGGATATTCGTGACCGAGTCTCTGTTGGCATTTACAATATTTCGGGACGACTTCGATATCCCGTTCGTTCTCATGTTTGGGTTCTTGCTGTTTGTCAAGTGCTTCCATTGGCTAATGGCAGATCGTGTGGAGACAGTACGTACCTTCTTCCGCAGCTCACGTATGGCTGTCATACTCACGGCTCTAAGATGGATCAAACGACCTATCCTGGGCCACCCCTCATATTTCATATTCGCATGAACTTGCTTTTCACTTTGCTCACGAGCATTGATTTCGTGATGTTCGTGCTTGCAGTGGAGAGCACTTTGAATTATGGGGTCGGAGGTATGGTACTTTTTGCGAGCGAGGTGAGCGACATTGTGCCCGGCTGCTTACAGAATGCTTAAGCGACAATGGTGACACAGTATGCCATTCTTTTGGCGAGTGCAATGAACTCGATCGCCAGATATATCCTTTCCGTGGTCGACCTCCGACGAGCACGGTCAAGAGGTGGCGAGAATGCGCCTCCAATGGAGAACAAGAGCATGTACGTGTTCTATATCGAGCTAATCACAGGTTGGTCTTCTGCACTATCTATTCTTCTTGCTCTGACACTGACGTGTCTCTGGAAGACTTCCTGAAGCTCGTGACGTATCTGACGTTCTTCATGCTCATTCTCACCTTCTATGGGCTGCCTCTGAACATTGTCCGCGATGTTTATCTGACGGCCCGGTCCTTCATCACGCGGCTACGAGCTCTTATTCGATATCACAATGCTACTCGCGACATGGACCGTCGTTACCCGAACGCAACAGAAGCTGAATTGGCCCAAATGTCCGACCGGACGTGTATCATCTGCCGTGAAGAGATGGTCTCGCGGATCCCAGCGCCAAACGGTGCGGAGGCGCCCGCAGCTCCGCCGCAAGATGGCCCAAACATGACCCCGAAAAAGTTGCCCTGCGGTCATATTTTCCACTTTCAGTGTCTGCGTTCCTGGCTCGAACGGCAGCAGAGTTGCCCCACCTGGTTAGTCTATTTTTTCTCTCCATTCCGCGTGCGCACCCTACATCACGCTGACCGGCTTGTTCCGCCGCGTGCCCGACCCAGCCGCCGCCCCGTTTTGGAAACGACCCCGAACCCGCGGAATCAGCCGCAAGCTCAGGGCCGTCAGGGAGGTGTGGGTCCCGGCATTGCGCCTCAACCTGGCCAGCAACCCGGGGGTGGCGCCGGTGGGTGGCTCGGTCGTGTCTTTGGCGCCCAGCAGCAGCAACCGCTGCAGGGCCAGTTCGTACATGGGCAGTTTGTTCCAGCCGGGGCGCCACAGCAGCCACAACAGCCCCAGCCGCAGGTGGGCTGGGTCGCGCCTGCGCCCGTCTGGTTTCCTGTTTACGCTCAGCCGCCGCCTCCTCAGCATTTGCAACAACCGCCACCGTTTAGAGGATTTTATGGACCAGGCGGTGTATGGCAGCCGTGGGGTATGGACCCTCAGTGGTTCGGGAACGCGCAGCAGCAGCAGCCTGCGCTGGCACCTGCAGGATTGCAGCAACCCGCCCCCGCAAATGCAGGTCATCAACAGTCGCCCCAGCAACAGGGTGGGAGTGGTGCGGCGTCGACCACGGCCTCAGGGACGTCTGGGCGCTCGCAGGACGCCCGCCAGCCTCCTGTATCAGCTAGTACCACGATGCCCGCCACGTCTGAACATGTCCCAGCCGCGCGCAATGCCGCTGCCCTTGCAGCATTACGCCGGCGGGGACAACCGGCACCCACGCCTACCTCCTCGTCTGTGGTGCGTGATGCATCAACTTCCGACCGTACCGGGCAGACAGGCGCGCCCGGCGATCCGGTTGCTACACCGAGCCCGACAACGACATCTGTACAGGGTTCTCCCGCTCCGAGCGAAGGCGAGGGAGGGCGATCGTCGTCGTCTCAGCCAGGCGCCAACGATGTGACGCGACCTCAGATCCCATCCCTGATCCCACTCTGCGACATGGCGCACGCGGGACCTTCCATGCGACCACCCGCGTACGTGCAGCCGTACCCCTCTTTCCAAGCGCATTACACGCCGTATTTCCGTAATCCGGCCCAGCAGACCCGCCCGCCACAGGGGTCATCACAGCAGCAGCCGGGAAGCTCCAGGGTGGCATCGCAATCTGGCCAATCTCAGCCTAGCGCGCCCCGCTATCCACGTACAGCTGCATCCGCGTCTGCCACCCGCACGCAACTCGCACAGCTGCCGCCCACGTTGACAGACGAGCAGCTCGCGCGTCTGGACCGCTTGACTCGCGACGCGATCGACGAGCGCTTGCGCGTTCTAGAGGGCGTTTCGGGTGCAGTACATCGGTGTATTGAAGAGCTGACTCGGCTCCGTAGCGTCCTGCCAGCATCTGCCACTTTGGGATCGATGCAGGGGCAGGGCCAGGAACGTGTAGCACCTGGTGCCGCAGCGGCCACGCCGTCTCTGCCTGTCGCAGGTCCGTCTGCTTCGCAAGGGAATGAACCCACATCCATGACTGCCTTGAGCGCTGCAGATCCAGCCTTAACAGCGGGCTCGCTCGCGTCAGCGCTCGTTTCCGGCTCAGGCGAGTCCGCAGATCGCGGTGATGCACTTGCAGGGGCGGAGATTACTTCACGTTCTATTGTTCAGTCTGAACAAGAAGTGTCCGAAGGCACTGTGGAGCAGTAATGTTTCACGAGTTGGGGTCTTGTACTATTATAAGAAGGTCATTATGTGTACGTTGTGAGCTGCAAGGATATCGTAAGAATAGCAGGCCGTCATGCACCCGCAAGTAATGCTTCTGCTCTTCGGCGCACGAGGTCGGCGTCGACAGATGAGCGGTCCACTTTTGTGTAGAATGACTTGAACACGAGACCCATGACCTTGCGGGGGTTTGCGTCACTGGTAAGCTGAGGCTGTTCGGAGATCACCTCGCGTAAGGCGCGATCTATTTCTGCCTCAGAGAGAAGTGGTGGGAGAAATGGCTCCAGGAGCTCAGCTTCATTCTTCTCTTTCTGTGCTAGATCAGGACGAGAAGCTTTCTCAAATTCGGCGGCAGAATCACTCTGAAATGAACGGCCAGACAAGCAGTGAGAACCCGCTCTCTAACAATAGCGGTGGAGACTTACCCGTCTGAGCACTGCTTTTCGAAGGATGGCGAAAATAGTTGAGGATGACGCCAGCTCAGAGCATCCAGGCGCTTTGTCTGCCGCATACACTTCCGCCAGCACAGACTAACAGTTCAGAGCGATTGTAAGAATAGCGAGCGGACAGTGAAATTTAGCCACTAGGTCTCAATAGCACTTATTAGTGCGCTTACACGTATGACGGTAGACTTCATGGTATCTTTGCTCTAATTATCATAGATGCATCAGCCAAGCGGTGGGGTACGATAGGAAGGAGTGATAGTAACCTTCATAGCGGACTTGAGTTCAGTCATGAGTTGTGCACGGATACCTATACACAGCCCGTTTAGCGAAAGCATCTCATGAGCTTCCTCGGGATTCATTACCGGCTGACCCCGTTGCTTCAGCGGAGAGATACCGCGCAAAGCTCACATTGTGCCTTTGGCGTAGAGCCACGCGGGTAAGCGGCTGAAGAGTTGACCTCAACATAGAACAAACTAGTATGTTAGATGAGAGATCAGAGGACTGCAATGAGATCCGCCGCCTGCATCAGGTGACAAACGCGTCGACGCGTTCCTTATGTAATCATGAATATCGATTCCACAGCTCTCTCAGGCTAGCCCTCAGACTCTTTCCATTCATTCGCATGCACTAAAGCTGGCGCCTCGCAAACGACCCTTTTTTTCGCGATGACCTATTTCGCGATGTCATCCACCGCTGCATTGGTTAAAATCAACTGTCAACGTCAATTTCAAAGTTAAGCTTATACTAGTTAAGCCAAGAACCACTGGGCAACCACCGCATATGCGGCCTTGCATTTCATTTGGTGGGCCACTGACCTCTCGACATATCTATCCGGAAAAGTGCGTGAACGCGCCTATTATATGTCAATGTTCCGTATGTTGGATGACACAGACGCGGCTTCGACGTCAGATCCTAAGCGTTCTAGCCTGATTGGTTGGTTTGGGATTCATCGTATATTAGCGCATACCTTCTGGTATTCTACAAACTATTTTCTAGTCTCTGTGGTTCTGGGTTCGCTGGAATACCTTGACGGCTTGGCGGCATATGGACGAATAGTTGGCGCCAGTTTCAGCCACACCATATGCCGTCAAATGTGGTTAGAACCTTTCACCCAGATCCCTTTACTCCGAGGCGTGACGGATCTCCTGGCGCTGGACGTGTCTCAATTCCATGACTCAGCATACAATGGGGCGAGCGATTCGCCGACTCATTCTTCCAGAACCTCTATGCACACGAGCACGTTTGCAGTATGCTCAGCGTCAACCTCTGTCTCAGTCGTTCGCAGAACCTCATATTTGTTGCTGAAGGTCATATAGGTGACAACATCGTCCTCAACCGATATTCGAATGGACGCAGGTGTTTCACAGTGATGTTTCAGCCGCTCATGGTCGGTAAAACTTTGAGACGGATGTGAACATCAAACGCCTGCGACGTCGTCTCTTGGAATACCACACAAGTTGAAGTCAGCAAGAGCAATTCTGTCAATCCAGAATTTAGAAACTCTGGGTTCATGTGACGCTATGTGCAGTAGACCTGTTGACCTCCTAGCCGCTCGACTCAAATGGCTCCACTCGCAGTCCCGAGCTCTGGTCGCAGCCAGCGCTGACCGAGTCGCATAATACCGCTCGGGATGCTGACTGATGCCCTGACACCGTAGGCCGCGGTCACACGTCCACACGGTCCCGCAGCGCCTGTGGCGTACACACCGCAGGGCATCGCTGCCCAAGATTGAGGCCAAAAAGGCAAAGCTTCCCTATTGTTCAGCTATATGTAATTGACAGCAAAGCGAATCCCATGACGCCGGGGAAGTGGGGTCAGCCTCGATGCTTTGATATTCCTATGCAGTAATCCCGTCGAGCAGACGCTCACACACCCAGGCCGCACCGTACCACGTTGGGGTCCGTCCCTTAGCGTGTAGTTTAAAGTTTCTGCCAGGGTTTACATCATACCCTTCCAAGCCTGGGTTTCCGCCGTCAGCTTGCTTCTATTGCTTTAGCACAAACCTAATTATTACGGCATGGTAGGGACGGGACTGTCGACTGCGGTGCGAATATACCCGAACAAATGGGACGCATAGCTACCGCACGGTACCTCCTCGATATCGGTTCAAGTTATTCCTATCCTTGAAGGTGGGTCTCAGCAAGTTTGCACCGTGGGAAGGATTTTCGAGACTGCTTCGTGGTGAGTATATATGTATTACCGCTTTTATCATATTCTACTTTGCTTCGTCACTTCTTCATAACTCTTCTCTCCATACACTCACCCATGGCTGTCAACCAGCGGATGATTGAGCGGTGGCCTGTCCGTTCTTCCTCAGTCGCTTGATATGGTGATTCGAAGTTCACTTGTGCATGTGGGGCGCATAGATCGACAGAAGGATCGGGACTTGCTTCGATTGAATTTAATCACGTCAAACTTGGTCCCATTGCCGCCTACAACGCTCCCAATGCCCCAATAACGACTTCGACGACATGTGGGACTCATGCATAACATTTTCTCACCTTGAATCTATTCCTGACACCACTCGTCTGGTTGCCCAACATAGCCCGAGGTTGTAAGATCGCTCTCAGCGTCCCCGAACATGTCCGGCAAAACGGTGGCACCATTCTCTGCATGTCATCCATGCCCATGCGGGCAGGACCCAGTGAGCCCGGGTAGCAAATGTGACTATGACCTCCTTCAACAATCCACCCCGAGGCTAACATTCAGATGTTGTTTTCTGTGCAGGGCAAGCGCTTAGTAAGTCACTTTACTTCCTTCTCGCGAACACGTAGTTGACAGGTCGGAAGCAATAAGATGGCATATATTTCGGAACATTATCGGGCCTCGACCCGGTCCGCCATGGTCTGCGGATTAGTATCGGATGCACTCCCAGTGCTTGTTCTCGATACTCAATCGAATGCCAATGGAGATATATCAGCTCGAGCTAATCATTAGCTTGCACTAGAACTGATAATGTTCGCAATCGCTCTTAATTGGGCTGTTCCAGTTACATCAATACTGCACTGTCCGTAATCATGCCCTGGGATGGCTCGCAGATGTTTCGCGACGCACGGGGTCACAAGGCTACACCCGCCTGAATATCTCCGACAGGCTGTTGGTTTAGACATCGTCCTGAGTCACGACGGCCTACAGCTGCCCACGGGGACCTTTCTCCTGAACGACTCGGTCGCGTGGTCCCTTACGTTGGTTCTCTTCTCTTCAATTAACTCACGGATATCTTGTTTATGCACCTTCAGGCAACATGGACACAGGTTATAAACGGCTGTGCTGGCTACACTCGCGACACCCAATATGTGGCCGCTCCTCATCATGAGCAGGACGCCGGCCCTCTTCGCGCTCCTATCTCTCCTGCCCCTCCAATTGGTGCAAGCTCTGCCACAAGCAGCGAGCGCTGCAAGTAGCCCACTGCCCACTGCAACCGCTGTAGTGCCTGGACTCAACTACGTCGCCAAGCAAGCTGGGAAGCTCTACTTCGGTACAGCTACTGACAACCCGGAGCTCAACGACACTGCCTATGATGCAATCCTGGACAATAATCTGCAGTTCGGCGCGTTGACTCCTGCGAATACCATGAAGTGGGTGCGTATGTCACCAAGCTATGAGGGCTGTACGAACACGACGTATCAATCCCTCGACTTACACGTCTCTGCTAGGAATATTCGGAGCCTGAGCCATTTGTTTTCACATTCGAGCAGGGTGATGTGATCGCAGATCTTGCGCGTGCCAATGGCATGCTGCTTAGAGGTATGCCCCACGCCCTTCATCGAGGCTGTCTTGATTTCATATGAACAGGCCATAACTGCGTCTGGTACAATGAGCTGCCAGCTTGGGTGACTGCCAACAATTACACCGCAGCAGAGCTTGCTATAATTGTAGCAGACCGCTGTGCGACTCTGACGACGCACTATAGGGGACAAGCGTGAGTTTCGCATCTACAGTGTTCATGCTACTTGCTCAGTGTCGCAACTCACCATTTCCAGCTGTACGTAGCATATAGACGTCTGCTGCAGACTAGCCGAATTAGACTAACCTCTTTGAAGATGCTTGGGATGTCATCAACGGTGAGGATGCTGTGGCGGATACTTGCTTCGCGCTTTAACTGGTTCTATGCAGAACCATTCAATGACAACGGGACGTACCGTGAGGATGTCTTTTATAACACTCTTGGAACGAGCTACATCCCGATCGGTCTGCGAGCGGCTCGCAGCGGAGACCCGAACGCCAAGTTATACATTAACGAGTATAATAATGAATACATTGGTACGGCCTGTCATCTTCGGTTACCCTTTTCGTGCTAATATACCTTCACAGGTCCTAAGTCGACTGCCCTGCTAAATCTGATCAAAGAGCTGCAGGCCGACGGCGTGCCCATCGATGGCGTTGGCTTCCAGAGCCACTTCATCGTCGGCGAGGTGCCCACCACGATGGTCGAAAACCTGGCGCAGTACGCCGCGCTGGGCCTCGAGTTCGCCATCACGGAGCTCGACATCCGTATGCCGCTCCCGGCGACGGCCGAGATGCTGGAGCAGCAGAAGGCGGACTACAACTACGTCGTGAATGCGTGCTTGGCGTTCTCGGAGTGCGTCGGCATCACGGTGTGGGATTGGACGGACAAGGTGAGTGGCCCCGGGTGCTCCCACTCCCAGGCAGATCCGGCTGAGAACGCACTAGTATTCCTGGATCCCTTCGAGCTTCCCTGGGTACGGAGAAGCAACCCCATGGGATGCCGTGAGTATCTTCTGTGCTCCTTTACTCCGGCGATGATGCCGACTGCCTATTACAGAACTTTGTCCGGAAGCCCGCGTACGACGGCATCGTCACTGCCTTCCAGAATGCGACGGCCACGAGTACAGCAGGGTGAGCAATCCACCGATATTAGCTCGTTGCATGTAGTTCGGTAGGCCAGAGACGATGCAATGACATCCTAATGTTTCGCGGGACGCCCAAAGAGAGCTCAAGCTCCTTGGGACCATTCCATTGAAATCAGACAACACTTCGACTAAGATATGATGTACGATAACATGGATGTGGGAAGCCATTACAACAGGAGAGAAGATTCATTTGATACAATTCACAGACAAGATTATACGGTCAAGATGTTGCATTCTGCACGACCGCTTTCAGTCTCCGCTTGAGCCCATCCTCCTCTCCTTGCGCGGTTGCCTCACCCGTGCCCTTAGGCACCTTGTCTAGCCCATCAGGACGCCCTTGCGCGGGCTGCCAATCGGGCGGCACTTCCACCTTCACGGGAGAGACAGCATTCGTTGGCGACGTAGGGTCACTTGGCAGCTTCTCTCCGTCCTTCTGAATGCCAACCTCCCCTGGACCTACCAGCTCCACTGTTTCACTCAGCATGGCGATGCGCGTCCACCGGCGGAATCGCGTGTACTGCACGCCCATCAGCAACATCCTTCTTATCACACCAGGCAGCGGACGCACCTTGCCCATTCCGCCCTTCGCACTCGCGCCCTCCCACTTATTGTCCGCATACATCCACCCATCAGCGTCCGTGAACATCTCAGCGTCGTCCTCTTCACCCTCTTCACCCTCCTTCACCTCGCGCTCGCGCGCGTGCCGCTCTGGGCTCCCGCCCCCACCGATGCTAATACTCCCCTCGCGCATCTTCCCCGCCGCCTTCAACACGCGGCTCGCGCTCCCCCCGACCCCCGCCGCGTCCTCACGCGGGAGCGGCCGCTCGACGCGCGACGCAGCCTCGCCCTCGCGGTGTACGGCCACGCGCCATTCGGGCTCCGCCCATCGCCAGCGCGCTGTGCGCTTCACGCGACCGCGCCCTTCTGGCGCGGGGAGATACACGGTCGTCGGGGCGGGCAGCGCGAACCCCGCGGGCGGGGACGCGGGAGACAGGTTCGGCACGCACCACGCAGGGCGCTCGCCCGGGAGCAGCGCGGCGGTCCAGTCGAGTCCCATCCACCAGCGCTGGTTCTCATAGACGGAAAAGAGGAAGCGGAGCTCGTTTGCGGGTGTGGGTAGGTCGTGTGTGGCAGTGGCGCCAGATGATGCGGAGACGCGGGTGAGCGCGCGGGCGGGGAGGGGAAGTCCGGAGAGAGCGGACCAGGCGCGATATGTGGCCCAGCGGATGTGTGCACTGCGCCAGAGGGCCCGGCGGATGAGGGCGGCCCAGCGGGCGCGCCAGGTAAAGATTAAGGTGCCGGCGAGCGCAAGAATGATACGGAGGCGCACAAAATAGGTGAGGATGAGATATGGAACGTACATAATGGCGGAGACACGCATGAGGATGAAGAGTGGCGGGGCATCATGTACGGGAGGCAGCGGTGGGAGAAGTGCGAGCAGCGTTGAGAGGTCAGATATGGTCTGCTGGAGCGTGTCCTCCGTCACGAGAGCAGCGGTCGAGGGCGCCGGATACCTCCATCGCACTACTGCAATGCTAGCCACGATGATTGTCGGGAGCAGATACCTTGCCGCCACAACGGATGGTCAACGGAGCGCACGGCCGCACAGCATGCAGCACACGACCCACCTGAGCCCCGCGTCCACACACAAACATGCTGCCCACCAGACAGCTAGTGCCAGCCAACTCTCCTCCCATGATGCTTTCCAGCTAAGAACTTGAGCAACTCGGCGAGTTCGCGAGATGCACGGGCCGAGTCCGACAAGGGCTGTGGTGAGCGGCGACGGGAGGGTGTTCAGGAAGTCGGCGAGCGGTGGTGGGGTGGTGGTCTCTGCAGCTGTGGGCATGGTGGGGTCAGCGAGAGAGAGGCAGGACACATTGGTCGTCGTCGGGCTCGTCGACGGAGACGTCAGAGGCAATCACAGGCCAGCCGTATTCGCGCGCTGACGGGCGAGAGATGACAGTCGCGCGTTCGTCAAATGACCTGCCTCTGCTTTCTTTTTTCCCTCTGGCCTTTCGACGAACAATCATGATGCTTTCTGTTATATTCGCTCGCAAGGTTTTTGTATCGAGAGTGGCAACACATCCTCCAGATTGTATTGGGTCGAACGATTATCGATGCCTGCGGCCGCCTAGAGCGGTGGCACCACTTTGCGCTCTTCCCATCTTCCCATAAGCCGCTCTACAAGCGATCCACCAGCGGCCTAAAAGCGTCGTTCAAGTTCATCATCTCCATTTCTCTCCCACCATGTCTAAGGCCGACGCAAAAGCACAGAAGCGAGCAAAGTTCGAGGCCGTCTTCCCGGTTCTCCGCGATGAGCTCCTTGCCCATTTCGCCGCCGAGGGCATGCCCGAGGATGCGAAGAAGTGGTACACCAAGGTTGGCAGACTGCTGGTGTGCAAATCTCACTGCTGACGCTGGCCATTAGAACCTAGACTACAACGTCCCGGGAGGCAAGCTCAACCGTGGGCTGTCAGTAGTAGACACAGTCGAGATCTTGAAGGGCCGGACTTTGACGGAGGATGAGTACTTCAAAGCCGCTCTCCTCGGCTGGTGTGTTGAGCTGGTAAGTGCATCCATTCACATACGATGGGCCCAGGAGATTGAACTCTACACAGCTGCAAGCCTTCTTCCTCGTGTCCGACGACATGATGGACCAGTCGGTGACGCGCCGCGGCCAGCCCTGCTACTACCGCCTCGATAGCGTGAACTACATCGCGATCAATGATTCTTTCATGCTCGAAATGGCCATCTACCACCTAATCAAGACGCACTTCCGCTCAGAGTCTTATTACGTCAACCTGCTCGAGCTCTTCCACGAGGTGCGCACTCCTTACTGACTCCCGCTGGCAAGGGGCTCATAGCACTCGCAGATCACCTACAAAACGGAGATGGGCCAGCTCATCGACCTCATCACAGCGCCAGAGGATCACGTCGACCTAAGCAAATTCTCGCTCGAGAAGTATGTCCGCTACGCGTGGTCTCCCGCTCTGGCTGACAATTATCTCCAGGCACAAGCTCATCGTCATCTACAAGACCGCCTTCTACTCCTTCTACCTCCCCGTCGCGCTCGCCATGTACATGTGCGGCATCCAGCACGGCCCCGCCCCGTCCTCCGACCCGTACGAGCTCGCGCGCTCGATCCTCATCCCGCTTGGCGAGTACTTCCAGGTGCAGGACGACTTCCTCGACTTCGCGGGCACGCCCGAGCAGATCGGCAAGATCGGCACGGACATCATCGACAACAAGTGCTCGTGGTGCGTCAACACCGCCCTCGCGCAAGCAACGCCGGCGCAACGCGCGGTCCTTGACGCGAACTATGGGCGGAAAGACGCGGCGGCGGAGGCACGTATCAAGGCGCTGTACGAGGAGATCGGTGTTCGGAAGTTGTACGAGGAGTACGAGGAGGCGGCGTACAAGCGGATCATGGGCCTCATTGAGACCATCCCTGCGCAGCCTACGGCGAAGCAGGGCGAGGTTGTACTACAGCGGGCGGTGTTCAAGAGCTTCTTGGACAAGATTTACAAGAGACAGAAATGAACGGCATATTCTCGAGACGGTGTACGAGTATCGGTGCTGCTTACTCACATTATATATATTCTCTCTTGATTGCATTGAATCCATGGGTGACGTGTCTGTGTTCCCCGCGCAACGGTCAAGGCTCGAGACCGTCTCTGCAGTGTCTAGTCATGAGGTGAATGTACTGCTGAATTTGGCAGGTGTGCTGCCGTTTTTGGATTGCCCACTTGCTCCTACCACGTGATAGGGCCTGGGGGTGGGGAGGATTTGCAGCTTATGTTCTGCTGCAGTGTATTCAACACGCTCTAAGTGCACTTGCTTCTCGATTTCTCATCCCTTCACGCATTTTGACAGCCCATTGGCATCCAATATTCAATCCCCATGCAGATGAACTTACGCCACATTCAAACACAGTGTATCCATAGCGCCGACCGAGATCTCCCAACCGGGGTTCCTAAGCAATAAATCTAGAGACGACTATCAACAAATAAAGTAAGAGATAACACACTGTTACCTGGATACTGACTCGTTGCCTCGACTGTCATATAGCTTGCACAACGATTGACGTTTGCGAACATGCTGGAAGTTCCCTTGCGATTCATCAAACGTACCGCGCTCGCACTGTTACTAGAAGTCCGAAAGAAGACCAAATCACTGGCACAAGCCCAGTATAAGGGAGGTGGTCGAGTTGACGCAAAATGGTTTCAGAGAAAGACATGTTCGCCTCACCAGATTCTAGACGCGGCGGCACATCTCATACGCTCTCGCTATTTTGATGCAGCATCAACAGCCATACAAACCAGGATGTATCTTCGCATGTCAAGGCGGATAGTAGCACCATAGACCGATTGTAGACCATTATAGGGCTCCAAGAGAGCATCATAAATAAGTTTCAGGTAGGACATACTGCTGCTCAATCGCAACACTACGAGGAAGAACGACCGCAGCGATTGGGGAAGTATACATAGCCGCTGCAACCGCCGGTGTCATTGCGGTCACTAGACAAAACACTGTCCGTACTCCAGACCAATAGCGTGTCTGACCGCCATGCATGATCCACCACCCGAGTCCATACAGAAGTAGTACTTTCCACCACGGTTCGCGCACTGGTGACCGGACAGCATGCCCACGGAAGTCGCGGGATGGCACCTGCACGACGTTCACGTCCGTCAGATACCCTGTTAACCTGCACCGCCCATGCCACTCACCTGCCGACGGGCACAGAGATCAACCGGTTCTGGTTTCGGCAGGCCTTTCCAGCGCGCGCAGCCAGCTGCATAGACACCCGTCAGTGGGACGTGTTGATTGTGAATGGCTCGGGGGGACCTACGACGTTGATTAC